CTTCAAAACTAATCATCTAGTGAAGTAAACTAATCATGGAAGTCTATTTTTAACCAACCTTCTTCGACCATCTTCTTCGATTGATTGTCATTATCCATTGTCGTCCATCGATTTGTCCTCACTGTATTGTCTTTAATCTTCATTGTACCGTTGATCCTCTTTATCGTACTGCTCTCATCTTTTCCAACTGACGCCTCGTTCATTGCATCGCATTCATTTAAAACATATAATTTTAAACCAATTTTTTTTTTATAACAGACAAAGAACATGATGTCAATAATTCATGTTGGATGCTTTGGAAAATAGACCCTCCAAGTTGGTTGGAAAAATTGAGAGGAGGGAATTATTGGAGGCTAATTTTGTAATTCCAATGAACCCTAATAATGATGGGAGACCCAACAAAAATAACTTATTATTATTATTATTATTATCTTTTAATTTTATTTTGGTGGATTCTTTAGAGCAAAATTTAATTTATATATCTAAAATTTAAAATCAATTTAAAATTACCTAAATAAAAAAAATTATATTAGAAAATATAATATAATGAAATGTCGAAGATACTCAATCGTTCATGTTCATGAAAAATCGGTATAGTTTACTTATTTACGTCAACTTTTATATATATATATATATATATATATGTTTTGTTGACATTTTGTGTGCTTTTCAGGAATATTTGTCAACTTTGTATATGAAATAGATTGATGAAAGGAAACCAAATTTATGGTGAGATGCTTTATTTCGTACCAAAATTAAAGGTTAAACAATATGTCTGTAACGTAACAAAGATGTCTTTTTATTGGTATGTTATGATACTAAGTTTAAGGAAATCTCGATATACCTTTCTATCGTGTTTGATCGTTTAAGGTATAAAATTTAAGATGTGTCTGTAATGCCTCATGTTTAAGATTTGAAATTTGGATATGACACCAAACGGTTCTGGTATTACCCTATATTCTCTACGATATGACTTTATTACCTACTTGATTTGAACTGCTTCTAAGAGTGAAAACTATCCTCTCACATGCTTAATTTTAAGATTTTTATGATTAAGTCATCGAAAATAAGATGCATCTTATTGGTATAAGTATTTACTATCAATTCTTTTGTAACGACCCATGCCCAGGATTCGGAATCTGGATTCGACACCTAATGGGCTCGGCATTCCCATGTAACATGGTAATGTTACCTACTACTCGCTTCTTTAAAAGTGAAGGTGCACTTTGTTAATATAGTTATTGACTTTCGATTCTTTTATGTCTTTCTTCACTATTCTATCCTCGTCATCTCTCTTTCTCATTACAAAAATTAATAAAATTTACTCACAAAAACTTCATCAATTCAGATTCAAATGGTTCAATCCAAATCATTTACGTCATGTTGGGTTAGATTTTTTTTTCGATTTTTGTTGAGTTGAATTTTTGAAAAACAGAAAATTTGGGTTAGTTCGCAAGTTGACATTATTTTGATCAGATCAACTCTACCGACTAAAAGATAGGGTCACAGTCAATCTTGTCTTACTCCTAAGATTATTATGAAAATTAAGAATATTTAAAGTGTGTAACTGATGTTAATGATGCGTTGTGACTTGTGAGTATTTAATATTTAAAATTTATGAAATTTGACAGATTAATGTAACATGGACGGTAGATAAATATGACTTTTTTAATAATTAAAAAAAAATACTCGACAACCCAACATAATCCAAAAATTGGATTAAGTTTGGTTGAGTTGTAAAATCTATTCGGGTTGTTCGGATCACCTGTCTAACCAACCCGAAATTTTGAGTTGGTCCAAAATATTTTTGGGATCCAAGCTCGTGTAAACTCCTATTATTTATTATCATTATTTAGCTATATATTAATTAATTGTTAATAAGTAATTTAAAACTATTTGACTTTGAAATCGAGAAGGCTGATTTGGACTACAATTTTCATTACTTCCACTAATTTTCTAAAAGATTTTGAGATAAGTTTGAAAACGTTAAATCTTGCAAAAGTGGCAGATTCCACGTGGCTAAACATTAACATGCCACGTGGAATACTTTTTTATATCGCCAACTGGCAAATGATGCACAATCCAATGGCCACTTGAGTGAAAACACTATGATTTTATTGTGTGTCAGAGCTGACAAGGAAAGTGATGACGTGGTATATATTTATCTTTCTCTCTCTGCCACGTGGCTTCAACTTGACGGCCCTAAATAATTAAATAAAAATAAACCATTTTGCCTTTTGCTTGAATGGGAAGGGATCCTCTGTGGCCTACCCTACACTGAACCCTCATGTGGTTTGTTTTTCTTTTTTTTCTTTTTTTGTGAAGTTAATTCCAAAATTAGATTATATTTGTTAGTGGGAATTTGGAAATTAAAACTTTATGTTTGGTTATTTATTTATTTATTTATTATTATTATTATTATTATGTTATTGATTTAATACTATTTTACAAAATTAATCTTCGATAATGGTTTTTTATTTTTTATAAATACCACATAAATCCTTGCCAAATTTAAAAAGTAAAAAAATAAAATAATTTATATTTTTAATTTGAAAATATCCATCTCGAAAAATTAAATTGGATTTTTTAGTCGATCCTATGCTTAGTAAATAAGGATATGATTAAACGACAAAGATTTTAGTTTAATAAATAACATCATAGTACACAACAGCCGTAGAATATTAATTAAATACGATAATATAATATTATATTAAATTATATGATTTAATTAGTATTAAATAATTAAATAATTGTTCTACCACCGCCTAAGAAATATCTTGCCAGCTCTTCGAGTTTTGTGCCACGTTTTGTTTCTTTCCCCTCTTCTAAAAATTAACCCTTTTTTTCTTAATTGATGAACTTGATAGGTCAACCTCTCCTTGGAACTTGGTTCTCGATACGTGTAAAATACAAACGATGACTAATTTTAATGGCACGAACCCGTTTTACGTAATCGTTATCTACATCAATCGAGAGTAGTACTTCTTGTTTCCGCTTTTCTGTTTATTGTTTTGAAGCTATTAGTTTCGTTGTTCGGGAGTGTTATGCACAACAAAACTTACTACTATACAAAAGTTCTTTGAAAACTTATTGGTTCAACTTTCTCGCTTATTGTTTCGAACACTTTTATGGAATCAAATCTAAAATCATTAACTTCATAGATCGGGAGTGTTAGACGAACACGAGTCTCCACAATGGTATGATATTGTCCACTTTGAGCATAAGCTCTCATGGCTTTGCTTTGGGCTTCCCAAAAAGTCTCACACCAATGAAGTTAGTATTCCTCACTTATAAACTCATGATCATTTCTTAAATTAGCCGATGTGGGACTTTCATCAGCCAACAGGGAGAATTCCTTGCAGACATACTATGTTTTGAACGGATGCGTTTGAACCTTTTTATGAAATCAAATCTAAAATTAGTCACGTTCCACATGATTACTTAGAATTTGATTTAAAGTTCAAATTATAAGATTTTATTCTTAATTTAATCGAATTTAACGATACTTTTCAAACAGAAAAAGAAATTACGGCGTTGGAAGTTCGAGGTTTCAAAAAACAACCCCCAACTTCGTGCAGAGCGTTGGATATTTATTATCAATATATTATTATTATTATTAAAAATACTTTTAGATAATATTCTTAAACCTTAATATATATATATATAATTAATTGATTTTGGATGATTTTTTTAATATTTTATTTGAAAAATACTGTATGTTTTAAAAAAATTTCAAAAATACCTTTTAATTTTTTAAAACAATTTTAAAATATTTTGGTCATTAATACTATATTTTAAAAATATTAATTATCTTTGAAAATAACATTAAAAAGTTTTGAAAATAATTTATCAGGAATTTTTTTAATTTTAGAATTAATTCCATTTAAAAGATTCAGTGCAATGGTCAATTAATGAAAAGTTATTGATACTTGATTAATATTAATTAAAATTTATAATAAAATACATTAGGTTAGATTATTATTAAAAAAAAAAAAAAAGAAGGCTAAAGTAGCCAAACACATGAATGTATGAGTTGTAATAATAACTTTTAAGATCCATAGAATATTATTTAAATATTGAAGTGGGGATTTAAATAACTAAACTATAGTTAGTTAGGAGCATACCGAGGTTAGAAGTTGGGTTAAGTGATTGGATTATTATTTTTTAATTATTTTAAAAGAATTACTTATCTACCCTACATATTCATAAAATTCAAATATCAAACATTTATAAAGTCGCAATACATCATTAATATTAGTTACAAACGTTTAATATTCTTAATTTTTTTTTTAAATATAGTAAGGTTGAGTTAGGTTAGGGTACACGGTAACCTTGTTTTTGGGTTACCCGACTAAAAAATGTCGCTGAATTTTAAATTTCAAAAAATTCAAGTAAATTCAAACCAAAATAATAATCCGCATCTCATACCCTCCCTTTAATTATCTTATAAAATGTGATTTAACGTCTCAAATGACATTATTATTATTAGCACATTTTGTTATTAGGGTGTTTTGTTCTTCTCCAACCTAACTCGGGTTAAGTTGGCCTGTGAACTTCATTGAGTCTCTCGGTCACCAATTTAACCAAAATATTTACTCAAACTCAGCTTAACTCATGGATATCTTTGAAATCTAGATATTGTCCTCTTTAGACTTTTCATTTCGGACTTTCACTTCATGTTTTAAAAACGTGTCTCCCTTATAAACGGTGTTTCATTCTCTCCTCCAACTAACGTAAGATATCACACATTTCGAAGTGAATTGTTGAAAATGTGGAATGACTCTATTCGTGCGAATCTAATACTGGACCTATAAGACGAAGTAGCTCGAGATTGAGAGCACTGTGGAGCCTAGGAAGAAAATGGAAGGGCATCTAACGATCAGAAGTGGTTTAAGGCCCCCAACTAATAAAGGAAACACAAATTTCCACGTGTCGTGATCTGGTGCGATCTGGCAGAGGAACTTGCTCGACCTCTCACCCTATAAATACCGACTTCTTCTTCTTCTCCAACTCACTCGATCGTGTTTTCTGTGTGGGAACAACTTTATTTACCAGAGCGCGTTACGTGCTTCTTGTTCGTTCATTTTGGTTTTTTTTTTTTTTTTTTTTTTCCCACTATCCATTGTTTCTTCTTCCTCTCTTACAAGCATTCCTTTCAGAGGAACGCTCTTTTCTTGTTCTTGTTCTTGTTCTGTTTCCGGCGAGGAGACTTGACGCAGCTTCCTAAGGGCTAATCGGTGAGTTATTGAGTTCTCCTGCTGGAGGTTTTGGTTGTGCTTTTTTGTTTTTTTCCCCTCTTTTTCGCGTTTGTGCGTCTGTGGCGTTGATTGGGGACAATACTCGGAACTTAGTTGGCGGTTTTGTGAAGAATTTCGTAGTTTACACTCTATTGAGGTTTTGAGGGATTTGATAATTTCTGGACGTGATTTTGTTGGAGATTTTGTTTCTGTGAAGTGACGGTTCTGTTCTGAGTTCATGTACATCCGAATCGATCTTCAGGCGGCCGGAGTTATGAGTTTGAACTCTACGCGATGATTCTGTTATTGGATCTTGTCTCAGATCTTACCTCTCTTTTTGACTCTTGAGCGTTTTTCCCTAATTCCTTGCGGTCGCGACGAGTTTTGGACTTTAATCTGATTATTCATGGACTGAACTGAACAAGTTAGAATTGAACAGGAACGAATTTGAGGTTTTAATGGCGGTGATATAATTTCAAATCTAGCATAAAACTAATCAAAAGAGCAACTCAATTATAATTTGGTCTGAAATCGATGAGTTGGAGAGATTCAATCTCCTATGAGGTTCAATCTTCTTTGATTCTCTTTCGCGTCACTTTCTGTCAAAGGTGAGTTTTATTGTTTTTCTCCACAATCAATTGCTTGTTTGAACGAATATCTCGTTTTTTCTTTTTTGTTTTTCTTTTCTTCCCGCCCGGGGAACTTGAGAAAGCAAGCCTTTAGTCGGTTTCCCTTTACACGGCGGTGAAGCGACAACATGAAAACCGTGTCTTATTTTTCGTCTTATTTTCTTCCTTCTTTTTTTTGACCTTTTTCTCTCATGGATTCCTTTCATTTATATTCTTTTTGCCTCCTCAGACCATCTTATTTCAAATATAATATACAATATTCTTCAATCTTTCAACTAATTAAGAGTCATTTATTCTCCGCCGTTGAGATAACCAAGTGGAAAGATGCTAAATTAGACCCTAAACCCTTCGGTCAGTCTTGAGCTGAATCCGATGTCTTTAGTTCCTGCAATCTGTAGTCTTCTTAATTTCCCTCGCCTCCGGCTAGCTCCGGGTCTCGGAGATGCTAAGGGCTGCTTCGTTATTGCAATTGAGGTGGATTTCTGCTCCCCCATGGGAGTCTTATGCTTCTCTTCGTCCGACAATCATAGGATTTCACCGTAATCGTAGAAACTTAGGTTTTCTTCTAAATTTCAAACCCTTAGATTGGTGTTAGCGATGTCCAAGGAAGAGTGCATCGTGTCCTTCTCTTCCGAGTTTGTTTCTCATAGTTCTTAATTTATTTTGGGTATTTTTGTGTTTCTAGGTCGCTGATTTCAACTTGGTTCTATTTTATTTTTATGATTTCTGATTGGCTGGTGATGGTTTTTCTATTGTAATCTCGTGCAGAATCTGATCGGTACTCAACAATGACGATCACCCCGAAGATTTCCGTTAACGATGGCAACTTGGTGGTTCACGGAAAGACCATACTGACTGGAGTGCCTGACAACATTGTGCTGACCCCAGGATCAGGCCCTGGACTTGTTGCTGGTGCATTCATTGGTGCCACTGCCTCACACAGTAAAAGTCTGCACGTTTTCCCCATCGGTGTCTTAGAGTAAGTACACAAACCCCATAATGGTTCTTCCAAGTTTACAGATGAACTTAAACCAAACAATCAATGGCTATAATTTCAGTTTACTGTACTATATAGAAGCTAGTGAATGTTTAGTGATTGAATTCTCTTTGATTCCTTAGCTGGGTAGATTTTAGCTAATATGATTTGAGTAGTGTATTTGGAAGAACAAGAAAATAGTAATGGTACGAAATATGAATCGTTCTGATTTATTTCAACCTCATAACAGGGGTCAGCGCTTCCTGTGTTGTTTCCGTTTCAAGTTATGGTGGATGACTCAGAGAATGGGAACGTCTGGGAAAGACATCCCTTTTGAGACCCAGTTCCTGCTCATGGAGAGCAAGGGTGCTGATGGGGAGGATCCTGATAATTCTTCGATCATCTACACTGTCTTCCTTCCTCTCCTTGAAGGCCAGTTCCGTGCTGCGCTGCAGGGCAATGACAAGAACGAGATGGAGATTTGCCTCGAGAGTGGTGAGTAGATCATGATCACCAGACAATTAATCTGCTGTAGGAGACACACACACCCTGCTGTCCTATTTATTTAGTTCCATCCTGGTGGTCGGTAGTGAAGAAGATATAACATTCTGTTGGGTGGAGCTGTGATTAATGAGAGCCAACCTTGCTGGAGAAATCATTTAATTATCATCACTGAATGAATCGAATTAATGGAGTTTTATAGCTCTTGGAGGAGAATATAGGAAGGATCAAGTTCCAAAGAAACGAAACGACTTGTTTTTGTTGGTGTTTGAATTGGTTTTGCAGGAGATAATACTGTTGAGACCAACCAAGGACTCTCTCTGGTCTATATGCATGCTGGGACAAATCCCTTTGAAGTTATCAATCAAGCAGTGAAGTAAGTTCCAAATGAAGTTTCACGTTTTTCTGCCTTTTTTTCATATACATATAATGCTAACTAAACTTCATAATGATGACAGGGCTGTTGAAAATCATATGCAAACATTTCTACACAGAGAGAAGAAGAAGGTTGAGAAATCGTTTTGGGATATATAATTTTAACTAAGCTTCCCTGTTTTAAGAGTCTCAACTGTGTTGTATTGTCTTTTCGCAGTTACCTTCCTTCCTCGACTGGTTTGGTTGGTGTACTTGGGATGCCTTTTACACCGATGTCACTGCTGAGGGTGTTGACGAGGGTCTCAGAAGGTAATAGAAATTGTTGTTGAGAAGTGGAAATCTGGTTGTTGCGTCTTGTAATGTTTCGTAAAATTAAATTGTTAAATTGTGGTGTGTTGCAGCCTATCAGGTGGAGGGGCACCTCCAAAATTTTTAATCATAGATGATGGTTGGCAACAGATAGAGAGCAAACCAAAGGATGCTACTGATTGTGTTGTACAAGAAGGAGCACAGTAAGATATTGCTATCGCCTTAATCACTCTCTGTCTCTCGAAAGCTGCTTATTGCTATCACCTTAGCAGCTTTCGAGCTTATTATTTGGAACCCGTTTTATGGAATCAAAACTAAAACCGCTAGGTCAATCGATTGATAGTGTCCATCACAGAAATACTACAATTTGAATGCAGGATGAGAACTGTTTATTATACAGAAGTTATTTTGAAAGCTTCTTGCTTTAATCATCTCAATAGCTTTCGATCTGCTTACTTAAGAACTAAAGTTCAAATCGTTCGATCTTATTCTTAATTTATAGGTTTGCGAGTAGGCTGTCTGGAATAAAAGAGAACCAAAAGTTTCAGAAAAATGGGAAAAACAATGTACAGGTCCCTGGCCTGAAGGTGGTTGTTGATGATGCCAAGCAACAACACAATGTGAAGTAAGTGTTCGATGCTGTGATATCTCATTTTTTTCCCATGCCATAGCTTTTTACGTTGCGCCATGAACATTAGTTTCTGATTCATTTCATCTCTAATGCAGATTTGTGTATGCTTGGCATGCTTTAGCTGGTTATTGGGGTGGAGTGAAACCAGCAGGTCCAGGCATGGAGCACTATGAGTCTGCTTTGGCATACCCGGTCCAGTCACCGGGTATGTTGGGCAACCAACCAGACATAGTTGTAGACAGTCTGGCTGTTCACGGCATTGGCCTTGTGCATCCAAAAAAAGTCTTTAATTTCTATAATGAGCTTCATTCCTACTTGGCTTCATGTGGAGTGGATGGTGTAAAGGTTGATGTGCAGAACATTATCGAGACCCTCGGTGCTGGTTATGGTGGCAGGGTTCAACTCACTCGTAGCTACCATCAGGCCCTCGAAGCTTCTATTGCTCGAAACTTTACCGACAATGGATGTATTTCCTGTATGTGCCATAACACTGATGGTCTTTACAGTGCCAAACAGACTGCGGTCGTGAGAGCTTCTGATGACTATTACCCTCACGATCCTGCCTCCCACACCATTCATATTTCCTCTGTGGCTTACAATTCTCTTTTCCTTGGAGAATTCATGCAGCCTGACTGGGATATGTTCCATGTAAGAAACGTTCTGCACCTGTATCAGTCATCACGACGCCTTTAACCTGTAATAGTTACACTGATGGGTACATCTTTGCTTTGTTTTTCAGAGTTTACATCCCACAGCTGAGTATCACGGAGCTGCTCGTGCGATTGGTGGAGGTGCAATCTATGTCAGGTAACTTATGTCCATGGCATGTTTGTTCGCTTTGAATTTCAAGTATTATAGTAAGAGATGGTCTAATCTTGTGCAACTTATCACAGTGACAAGCCAGGCAACCACAACTTTGAGCTGTTGAGGAAGCTAGTTCTTCCCGACGGATCAGTTCTTCGTGCCCAGTTACCTGGACGACCAACAAGTGATTCTCTGTTCAACGATCCAGCTCGAGATGGAACCAGGTTTGCTGCCTTTTCACTTTCTTCCTACTGTCTATCAACCTCTCATTAGAGACAACTATTGATAATCAGTCGTGTTACCTCCCTTTTGCAGTCTGCTCAAAGTTTGGAATATGAACAAGTGCTCTGGTGTTGTTGGAGTATTCAATTGCCAAGGAGCTGGCTGGTGCAGGATCACAAAGAAGACTCGCATTCACGACGAGTCTCCTGGTACCCTCACCGCCTCTGTCCGTGCAGCCGATGTCGATGCTATTTCGCAAATTGCTGGTGCCGATTGGAAGGGAGATACTATTGTTTACGCCTATCGATCAGGGGAGGTAATTCGATTGCCAAAAGGCGCCTCGGTTCCAGTTACACTCAAAGTATTGGAATATGATCTTTTCCATATTTCCCCTCTAAAGGTGTGTAACTCTTTTCCCCTCTGCTTCTTTCTTTATCAACTCATTTTGTGATTCATCAAAGTGTTGTTGATTTTTCAGGACATCACCTCGAACATCTCTTTCGCGCCAATTGGGCTGCTCGACATGTTCAATACTGGTGGTGCTATTGAGCAAGTTGATGTCCAATTGGTCGAAGCAACGCCCGAGTTCAACAGTGAAGTTGCCTCCGAGCTGACAGGTTCTCTCCCCAACGATCGACGCCCGACAGCTACAATTACTCTAAAAGCCCGAGGATGTGGAAGGTTCGGCATTTACTCATCTCAACGAGCTTTGAAATGTAGTGTAGACAAAGCCAATAGTGACTTTGCCTACGATGAGGCAACAGGGTTAGTCACATTTGCGCTCCCTATCCCGACAGTAGAAATGTATAGATGGAGCATTGAAATTCAGGTTTAAGCATGAACGTTGTATGCTGAATTTGCATAGATTACATGTTGGCATATCATTTAATGGCATAGAGAGAGAGAGAGACAGAGCGAGGAGGACATTGGGATGAGTGTATGTCAATGAAGTGATATATTATCATCATGCATTATATATGATGTTGTAATGATTGAAGGGTGTAATATGTGTCGAGTGTATTTTCATTATTGTAATAATAGTAATTATAATATATTATTGAGCAATTACCAATAACTAAATTATAATATATATATATATATATATATATATATATATATATAATTCTCTTCTCTAAAAATTATATATATATATATATATATATATATATATATATATAATTCAATAATAATTGAGCAATTACCAATAACTAAATTAATTTTAAATTTGATATATAATATATATTTGTAATAGCTATTTCCAACTCATGACCGACACTAACCGACAAATATCAAATTATTCACATGCTATTTTGTCTTTTTTTTTAATATTTTTTTAAGATTTCCCTTTCTTTTTCCAAATTTCTCTCTCCAGTTGGTGACCAAAACCATCCATCCATCTCCACATCCCCCAACTCACAAAGTGGTTACCACGCGCGCCGCCTCACGGTTGCAATGCCAGTGGCATTTACGTAATTTTGTGAAAAAGGACGATCGGGCGTTCAGAAACGCGAGTACTAAATTTCATCTTCGCAAGCGCGCTGTTGATTTTTGTTGTTCGTGTCGTGTCGGTCACAGCTCTTTATAGGTTCTTGTCCATTTTTCTGAACTCTGCTACAAAGCAACCATTCATGCTCTTCCACGTCATCGTTTACATTGTCAAAAAAAAATTACATGCCACGTGGCAGCACCGTTAAAAAAATCTTTGGAACCCATTAGAAATATTTGATGGATTAATTGGTGACCCATATAACCCGAACCTGTTTCACAATCTTAAATATATAATTAAGAAAGACTAAATAAAATTTTAAAAATATTTTAAAATTTGAGTAAAAAAAATATTATATATATTTTAAAAATATCTATTAAAAAATCCAAATATCCTTAAAAAAAAAAAATAATAATAATTTAGTAAAATTTATCCAAAAAATAAAAAATAATAATTAATTTTGAAGTTCATCTTGGAGCAAAGTGTGTAAAAGTGTAAAATTTGCTTCAATCAAAATCAGAGATTCAGAAGAAGAGAAAATTTCAGTGGAAAAAAGTAAATGAAGGAAAGAAAAATTCACCAAGAAGACGAAGCATGGATTGGATCCCTGTTGTCGGTGGCTTTTCCTGAAATCTCTGCCCCTTAAATTCCCTTCCATCTTCTTCTTCCATCGCTTTCTTCTTCACACATCTCACCATTTTCGACCAATCCCCATTTCACTTTGCTCTCTCACAACTCAAGATCTCTAGTTTCCATGAAGTGAACCAGAGTTGTTCCTTTCACTTCTGCTTGTTTCACTTAAAATCGAGCAGGATCTTCGAGTGGACCAGCTTCCATGGAGGTCGACGCTAATTCAGGGGTAATTACATTGTTTTCTCCTCTTGTAGATTTGTTAAATCCGTTCTGTTTCCAGCGGTGTTTGTGATTTGGTTTTTGTTTCGATCTTTAGAAATCGTCGAAACAGATTGGGAGTGGTCAGGTTTGTCAGATCTGCAGCGATTCCGTCGGCACCACGGCCGATGGCGAGCCGTTTGTTGCGTGTGATGTTTGTGCATTTCCGGTTTGCCGTCCTTGTTACGAGTACGAGAGGAAAGATGGGAATCAGTCTTGCCCTCAGTGCAAAACCAAATACAAGTGGCATAAAGGTTTTGATTCGATTCTATGAACTATTTTAGTTAGATTTGTGCAGTTCTTGAACAATATACATCGATGTTTATGAGATCGGTTTAATCTTGGCGTTTAGGAAGTCCTCCGGTTAATGGAGAAGCAGTGGAAGATGGGGATGGTAATGGAGTGACGGGGGCTCAAGAAAGGCACCATAAGTTACCTGAGCGCACTCTTAGCTGGGATACCAACTATGATAAGGAGGGATCCTTTAATCATATTCCTTTGCTTACCACTGGACGATCTGTAAGTGGATCTAGAAGCTTTCTTTGTTTGATTCAATTTTGTTTGTTTTTGATGAACTTGGAGCTGAATTGGGCGGTTTCAATGGTGTTTAATAAGGTTTCTGGAGAACTATCAGCTGCATCTCCCGAGCGGCTCTCCATGGCGTCTCCTGAAAGTGGGAGCAGGGGTAAGTTCATACATTCAGTGTCTCGTGTGATAGAATTAAGGGGTTAAGCGATTTTATGTTGAGATGTTTTTATGATATTTGGCAGCTAACTATAGAATCATGGATCAATCGAGAGATTCGGGATCGGCTAGGTTTGGCAATGTGGCTTGGAAAGAGAGAATTGATAGTTGGAAGGTGAAGCAGGACAAAAGTGTGCCGCCAATGAGTGTTAGTCATGCACCTTCTGAAGGTCGGGGTGGTGCAGATTTCGATGCCAGCACCGATGTCATGATCGATGATTCTTTACTGTAAGTGCTTCACTTAGTCTCTTGTGTTGAATATATTTTAGCCATTTCTTAACTTATCTACTGTCAATTAAACTTTGTAGAACAAAATGATTTGTGAACTAAACCAGAAAAACCATGTTTTAAACTGTCATATTGCTTTCATGAAAGTTCCTGATTACGTTCTATGTATCTCAAAGTTTCAACATAGCGAATGGACGTTCTGAGTTCAACTAAGGTAGCAGTAATCTCTGTTAATTTGAGTGATTTTCTAAATGAACAGAAGACATGACTTTTGCTACTTGTCGAAATTTTACATTACACAAAGTGAAAATTTCTTGCCTCTAGCTGAAGTCATTGGAGTTCACCTAATCAACCTTTACATGATACTGTCATTGTTCTTTCTAATCGCTTTTCTCATTTGTTGGCATTGCAGAAACGATGAAGCCCGTCAACCTCTTTCGAGGAAGGTTTCTATTCCGTCCTCTAGGATTAACCCTTATAGGATGGTCATAGTTCTGCGACTTGTTATTCTTTGCATCTTCTTGCACTACCGGATTACAAATCCAGTTCCAAATGCCTTTGCTCTGTGGTTAATATCAGTGATTTGTGAAATATGGTTTGCTGTATCTTGGATTTTGGATCAATTCCCCAAATGGCTTCCAGTCAATCGCGAGACATATCTTGATAGACTTGCTCTACGGTAGCGTTTTAACTTTCATTATGAGCAATTTTCATCTTAGAAGTTTGTCTTACTGTAAAATTTTTAATTTCGAATATCTACTATTTGCAGATATGATCGTGAAGGAGAGCCATCTCAGTTGGCTGCTGTTGACATATTTGTCAGTACTGTCGACCCTCTGAAAGAGCCTCCCCTTGTCACAGCTAATACGGTCCTATCAATTCTCGCTGTGGACTATCCAGTTGATAAAGTTTCTTGCTATGTATCAGATGATGGAGCTGCTATGTTAACATTTGAAGCATTGTCTGAAACGTCAGAATTTGCAAGAAAATGGGTTCCTTTCTGCAAGAAATACAGCATTGAGCCACGAGCACCAGAGTGGTATTTTGCTCAGAAGATCGATTACTTAAAGGACAAGGTTCACCCATCGTTTGTGAAGGAGCGGCGAGCAATGAAGGTGATAGCTCCGCATTATTACTCGTCGTTTTCTTTATAATTCCTTTATCATCTCCATATTTGACTGTGCTTTTGTATTCCAGAGAGAATATGAGGAGTTTAAAATTCGTGTCAATGGACTTGTTGCTAAGGCACAGAAAGTTCCTGATGAAGGATGGGTCATGCAAGATGGTACACCATGGCCTGGAAACAACACTAGAGATCATCCAGGAATGATTCAGGTCTGTACATCAGGATTTTGAAATAAAACTGCTTGTCTCAATGCTCGTTGTTCTTCACTGTCATGCTCGATTTTGTTGCCTCATTTTGCTTTCTTTATAAATTTGCAGGTTTTCTTAGGGCACAGTGGAGGACTTGATACTGAGGGTAATGAGCTTCCTCGTTTAGTTTATGTTTCTCGTGAGAAGCGTCCTGGTTTCCAACATCACAAAAAGGCTGGTGCTATGAATGCACTTGTGAGTAGATGGTCTTAGAAAATTTCTCAAGTTCTTTAGAATTTTTTTATATTTCTTTGAATGATCGAACGCCTCTATGCAGGTTCGTGTTTCTGCTGTTCTTACCAATGGACCTTTCTTGTTAAATCTTGATTGTGATCACTACATAAACAACAGTAAAGCGTTACGGGAAGCTATGTGCTTTATGATGGATCCTAATCTTGGAAAATCAGTGTGTTACGTTCAGTTTCCTCAGAGGTTTGATGGGATTGATAGAAACGATCGATACGCCAATCGTAACACTGTTTTCTTTGATGTAAGTTCAGTGGCATTGTAAGCTTTCATTTCCTTGTGTCCTTTCTGGCCTCCTCTTTTTAATTTTCCGAAAATTATATGGTTTATAGATCAATCTTCGAGGCTTGGATGGCATCCAAGGTCCGGTTTATGTGGGAACGGGATGTGTCTTCAATCGAACTGCATTGTACGGCTATGAACCCCCCCTCAAGCCTAAGCATAAAAAACCCGGGGTCTTCTCCAGTTGCTTTGGGAAATCAAAAAAGAAAAGTTCTAAATCTAAAAGGAAGGATTCTGATAAAAAGCAATCAAATAAAAACGTCGATCCCACTGTGCCGATATTCAACCTCGAGGATATCGAGGAAGGTGTTGAAGGTAAAGTTTTCATCTATATGTTCGTTTATATGCTTTAGCAGTATCTTGAAATGGGGTGTTAATTTTCATACGTCATTCGATGCAGGTGCTGGATTTGACGATGAGAAGTCGCTACTAATGTCACAAATGAGCCTGGAGAAGAGGTTTGGTCAATCAGCTGTATTTGTTGCTTCCACACTGATGGAGAATGGTGGCGTGCCGCAGTCTGCCACCCCGGAATCTCTTCTTAAGGAAGCAATTCACGTCATCAGTTGCGGATACGAGGATAAAACAGACTGGGGAAGTGAAGTATGAATCTATCTCTCTCTAAGGCAACTTAAGCATAAGAATTTTCAGTTACTAAGAGATGTTTATCATTTCATGATGCAGATTGGATGGATCTATGGTTCTGTCACAGAAGATATTTTGACAGGGTTCAAAATGCACGCCCGTGGTTGGAGATCGATCTATTGCATACCTGACCGTCCTGCATTTAAAGGTTCTGCGCCTATTAATCTTTCCGATCGTCTAAACCAAGTGCTTCGATGGGCGCTAGGTTCAGTCGAAATTCTTTTCAGTCGGCATTGCCCGATGTGGTACGGTTATAGTGGACGCCTGAAATGGCTCGAGAGATTTGCTTATGTTAACACCACCATTTACCCAATTACATCCATTCCTCTCCTTGCCTATTGTACCTTGCCTGCAATATGTCTGCTCACCGGAAAGTTCATTATTCCTCAGGTAAAAATGATTACATTTAGCTTAAGAACATCATGCTACAAACATATTATCCTCTTGATTTCTTTCGCTCGGGTATCACTGAATCATATATTGTTCGTGTTGTTTCATTACAGATTAGTAATCTTGCCAGTATTTGGTTCATTTCTCTCTTTCTTTCCATCTTTGCCACTGGTATTCTGGAAATGAGATGGAGTGGTGTCGGAATCGATGAATGGTGGAGAAACGAGCAGTTTTGGGTTATCGGAGGTGTGTCGGCCCATCTGTTTGCTGTGTTCCAAGGTCTACTTAAAGTTCTTGCTGGAATTGATACGAACTTCACGGTTACTTCGAAAGCATCCGACGAAGATGGAGATTTTGCTGAGCTCTACATGTTCAAGTGGACCACTCTTCTCATTCCCCCCACTACTCTCCTCATTATCAACATAGTTGGAGTTGTTGCTGGAATTTCTTACGCCATTAACAGTGGCTATCAATCTTGGGGTCCCCTTTTCGGCAAGCTGTTCTTCGCTTTCTGGGTGATTATCCATCTGTATCCCTTCCTCAAGGGTCTGATGGGTCGCCAGAACCGAACTCCGACGATCGTGGTTGTATGGTCCATCCTCCTTGCCTCAATCTTCTCCCTTTTATGGGTTCGGATTGATCCCTTCACAACCCGAGTAACTGGCCCCGACGTCGAACAGTGTGGAATCAACTGCTAAAGGGTAAAGGGAATACATTTATACATATGAATGAAGATAGAACAACAGTACTCTCAAACGAAAATTGATCCAGATCATGCGGCTTCTCTTCTGTTTTCATCCCCTGAACTGGAATCTCAAAGCTCATAAAGGTACAAATCTAGCTTATCTATCCACAACAGAATTTAAATTAATTTATTTGGTGCTGTGTTTCTGAGTTTGAAGTTATGGAAGAGATTCATTGCAGAAGTTGATGATGATCTTCAAATTTTTCCCCCCCTCCCACTCAGTGTTCCTTCTTGTATGTACAAATAAAAACTGATGACACATGATGCTTATTATTTTTTCTTCTCATGTATTGAGTATAAACTATGATGTTGGTTCTTTATTTAAGGCTTCTTCACTTCATATCCATTTTTGCAATCTTGATTTCGAAAGAAATGTTAAAGAAAGTGTAAGAAAAAGCTCGAAAGTTCAAGTCGAGAGAGTTTGAATTTGGTTGCTTAATCACTTAGGTCGGGTAAGACAATCACATACAACTTATATTATGAATGTGGGATCTAAAGTCATAACTATTCTTGAGATCTACTTCATATTTGTTAAGGTTTGAAATACTTCTCTACACACGATTCAGGCACATGCACATGGACCCACTAAACAAGCTTGTTAACGTACCTCCTTGGTGCAGGTATGCATCCATACAATACATAACTAGAAAAATAAACCATGATCACATAAACATACAACATGTTTGAGGTCCTACATCTTAAATCGATCTTGAATCATCGATTTAGTGTGTACATCATAAATATTTTCATGGCTTTACCCTTTTACAAGACTTAGAGTTTATAATCATGGTTTTTTCCCAATGCTTTATAAACATCTCCTAGTCCAGGGTGTCTTGTATAACATGTATAAAGAAGTTAACTTACCTAAAATCTTGATCCGACTTTTATCTACTTCCATGAGTTAACCAAAACTTAACTCAAACTTAACGGAGTTTAATTCCACCTACGATATGGGAAGTATACGAGAAATCAATCTTAGAATTCATCTATAGAGTAACAACTATCTAATCATCCTAAAACCAGCAATACGTAGTGAAAAAACGTTACTGAACGTGGTTTGTTATGGTTGCATGAATTCCTTAGTGTTTTAAGATATATCGAGTAAATTGAAAATGATTAAGTTAAGCATATGTTACCAATGAACCAGCCCAATTAATTTCAATGCATGGTCATTTTAATGTTACCCTAAAGTGGAATCCTCTATTTAATTCTATTTTTGGGTAATTTCCAAGTTTTAAATTTAATTAATATACTTTCAAGTTTAATATAAAATTAGGATATATCTTTTGACTTAAAATTTGGTATTCCATAAAAATTTTAAAATATCTAATAATTTTCTTAATTTTTATAGGTAAAATATTTTTTTTTTAAAGAAAAACACACAATTTAGTTGGGCCTAATCAACTGGATCGGATTCTCAAGCTGGGCCTGAGATAGATTTGGTCCAGTTCATTCTAAACCTGTATCCAAACACCCCCAAATGCAGACCCATCAAAACCCTAGCTCCCAATAACTCCATATATAAATTCCTTCTTTAGGGTTGTTTCTCCCACTCTCTTTCAAGCTTCAATCTTTCGTTAGTTCTCTCGAGCCGCATTTTTGAATCTTAATCATGGCTGAAAGAGGAGGAGGAGACCGCGGTGGCTTCGGCAGAGGTTTTGGCGGCAGAGGTCGTGGTGGCGACCGTGGCCGTGGCCGTCGTCGTGCTGGCCGCCGTGACGAAGAGGAGAAGTGGGTTCCAGTCACCAAGCTAGGGCGGCTCGTCAAGGAAGGTAAGATTCAGTCACTTGAACAGATTTACCTCCACTCTCTCCCAATCAAGGAGCACCAAATCGTAGATACTCTCATCGGACCTAGCCTCAAGGATGAGGTTATGAAGATCATGCCGGTGCAAAAACAGACCCGGGCCGGACAGAGGACCCGTTTTAAGGCCTTTGTTGTCGTCGGTGACGGCAATGGCCATGTTGGATTGGGAGTTAAGTGCAGCAAGGAGGTTGCTACTGCTATTCGTGGTTCGATTATTTTGGCCAAGTTGTCAGTGATCCCTGTGAGGAGGGGTTACTGGGGTAACAAGATCGGTAAGCCTCATACTGTGCCTTGCAAGGTTACTGGAAAGTGTGGCTCTGTTACAGTACGTATGGTTCCTGCTCCTCGTGGTGCTGGTATCGTCGCGGCTAGGGTTCCCAAGAAGGTGCTTCAATTCGCTGGAATTGATGATGTTTTCACTTCTTCCAGGGGATCAACTAAGACACTTGGAAACTTTGTGAAGGTATGTTATATTATGATGCAGTGTCTATATCATCCGTTCTGTTATATCTATATGGCTGGAATTTAAGGTGTCCATTATAATAGCTTGTATGTCTTGATTCTGCTGCTTCGTGAAATTATGTATATATTAAGTAGTTTATTCTGGTTGATTATATTAGTGATCTGGATTGTTCTTCTATCGTTTGCATAACATTTATGATAATCAAGTGGAATTAACTATGTTTTGGTTTTAAATATGGCACTTCTATGATCATGCTAAAAAATTTCAAATATTTCTTGTGATTAGATTACTTTGATTGAATTTCTCGTGAAATTGTTCATATATACTGTGCGTGAAGATGGAAGATTTCTGTTCTAAACTGGGTTTTAGTTACTTGAACAAATGCTTTATTAGTATGGCCAGTTTCTGATTTTTGTTGTAAGTTTTTGAGTTGATTTCTTGTGTCTATACTAATGCTTTCATTTTGGCAGGCTACCTTTGATTGCCTATTGAAAACCTATGGTTTCCTGACACCCGAGTTCTGGAAGGAGACTCGCTTCACAAAATCTCCATTCCAAGAGCACACGGATCTGTTGGCTAAACCTACTGTGAAGGCATTGTTGTTGGATGATGCCGAGAGGGTTAACCCTTAAGAAGGGGCGATAGATTTGGTATGGTTTCGAGAAAAGAAGAATGTTTTTGTTAGGAACTCTTATAGTATATGCTTTTCAGTTGAGTTCATTTACTTTCAAGGATAGTGTGTTATTTATTTCTTTATGCTACTTGACTTTGTTTTTGTTTTTGTTTCTGAATCCTATGGCATAAAGCTTGATTTTGATGAATGCACTAATTTTTCTTACAAGCACATAACACCAAAATGAGTTTTTTTTATTTTTTTTTTTATTTTTTATATATTCTATTCATATATGCTCCAAGCAAGCCAATATGAAGTGGTGAAATAATCGTATCATCAGTTGGAATTAATGTGTTATGGTATGCTGATTTGATCTGTATCACTAAATGGAATTTGGGACTGAAATTTGCATGAAAACAATGAACTTGAAGTGTACGAAGTAACCCAAAAACTTCATAACCATAGGAAATGTTTTTGGGATATTTCTGTACGTGCCAAGTTTTTGGTTCATAGTTTAATTGCTATGTTAAGGGTTGGCACACTGCTTGCACGTTGATACCATTTGTAATAGTTTATTTTCTTGTCTGCTTTTGATTCATTATGTGTTGCTGTCAAGTTTACCAAGATTACCAATTTAAAATGTCTTTGTTAAGGAAATGTTTTAATACCTTTAATGTTTGGTTTCAATCTTTCATACCTATAATGTTTGATTGGATGCTATAATGTTTGATTGGATGATGTAAAATTTCTTCTTAAACATCTCAAGGATTGAACATATACAGTTCTTTAACATACATGGAGTGGAGGGTGGTATCTCTTTCTATGAGATTACTCAAACTATTGTACATGCTTGTCATAGATAAATATAAAGTTTCTTTTCAACATTCAAATAAATATAAAGAAGGAAAATGTATTAATTAATATTTAAGAAGAAAATTATTTATTATATTTGATATTTTAAATTTGGATGGTTCAAATCCATTAAATAATGTATTATTTTATTTAAATATGATTTAAAGAAAATATATATGTTTTAAATATGAGGGATATTCTCTCTAGTCTAGGACCACGGGTTGAAGCGTATTCCTCGAGACTCATAAAACAATATATCCGAGTCATAATGAGAAAGCTTGTTAGATTTCTTCTTCTCCTTTTTTTGTTGGGTCAAAAAGAAGGATGGAAATATAAGCTAATATGTCAATTTTGACATATAAGCTAATATGTCAATTTACGTCAATAACTCGAGAAGCCATTGCTGAATATATACTAAATAAAAATTTGGAAAGTTGGGCATCTTCTTTTTGCTAGGATCGTGTTTTTCCTCCACCCTAAACTCATTATGTCGCCGGAGAGGAATTCAGAATCTGAGACAGCAATGGAAAGGGATGTATTTTGTCATTTGGTCCCATTGCTGATCGGAGTTCTAATTTGAGCAACATAACGACTATGTTATTAGAGAAAAAAATACAATGTGTGGCCGACTAGAATCTTCTAAAGTCAACTTAACAGATTGATAATTAGCTAAAGATCGCTCCTAATCCAACTCGAGAATGAACTCGATCGAGGGAAGTTTCAAAGAATAATATCCAAATTCATCCCATTAAGTAAATAAAGTAACTCTGAATTGAACGGGAAGTGTTTGGATAAAAGTTGAGTTTTTTTTTTTTTTTCTGTTCACCCAATCAGAAAAAAGTGGGGCTGGTCCTGATTATACACTGAATTTCTGAAATCCGAACCGGAAATTGGGGGAAAGGGTCAAATTAATCCCAACTAGACTTTTCTAAGACTATTCCTCTGAAGCTTTTCGTTTTCGCCTTCCTCCCAATACGCGGAAACTTAAAGCTTCAGATCCATTTCAATTTCATTTCCGATTCCCAGTTTCTGGCATCTTCTTCTTCTTCTTCTTCTTCTTCTTCTGTTTATAATCTTGTTTTCAGCCTGTAATTTCACAATCTCGTATCGAAAATCTGCTTCGGTTTTGGTTTGGGTATGGGAACTCCGGAATTCCCTAATCTTGGAAAGCATTGCAGCTTTGAAGATTGTAAACTGATCGATTTCTTGCCCTTTACTTGCGATTGTTGTCACCAGGTTCTCCATCTTTCTGTCTCTTTCTAGATATTTGATTTGAATCTATGTTCAATCACTGTGTAATTTTGCTTCTGTTTTAGTGATTTGTTTGAGTTGGATCCTAGGATGGTTTCTCTTGTTATTGGAAATTTATGTTTGCTTTGACTTGGTTTGATGAACAAATGATCGGCTCTATGATATAGAAAATTTTAGCTGTGAAGAATGGAAGTTTTCATGTTTCTCTGGATCTCCTAGGGTTTCATTTTCAAGCTTAATCTTAGTTTTTAATGATATGGTTTGATGGTTGCAAATGTGATAGAATCACGCATCTCCACAATGATACGATATTGTCTACTTTAAGCCTAAGCTCTCATGGCTTTGTTTTAGGCTTCCCCTCATACCTGTAGAGATGTATTCATCATTCCCTAAATTAGGCCAACGTATAACTCTCTCCCAATAATCCTCCCCTTAGACAAACTACATCATGGAGCCTTCTTTAAGGCCTATAGAGTCCTCGAACAACCTCCCTCCCCTTAATCGAGGCTCGACTTCTTTCTCTGGAGTCCTCGAACGAAGTACACTATTTGTTCAAAACTTCAGTCACTTTTGAGTATAGCTCACAACTGCATTGTTTGACATTTGAGGATTCTATTGACATAGCTAAATTAAGGGCATGACTCTGATACTATGTTAGGAATCACGGATCTCTACAATGGTAAGATATTGTCCACTTTGAACATGAGCTCTTATTACTTTACTTTGGGCTTTCCCAGAAAGCCTCATACCAATAGAGATGTATTTCTTACTTATAAACCCATGATCATTCTCTAAATTAGCTAACGTGGGACTCCCTCCCAATAATTGTGAACCCTGAATTACACGTGATTGTAACAAAATAAACCCTCTGTGAGAGAACTAAACACTTATTGTCTGGTTTGTGTTAGTAAGTGATCATAAAGCTTTTACAGGTCTTCTGTTTGGAGCATCGTAGCTACAATAGGCATAGTTGTCCAAAAACTGATAGGCGTGATGTTACTGTTGTCATCTGTCCGCTCTGTGCCAAAGGAGTTCGTCTCATTCCAGATCAAGACCCGAACATTACGTGGGAGATTCACGTAAACACTGAATGTGATCCTTCAAATTATGATAAAGTTACAAAGAAGAAAAAGTGCCCTGTACCTGGCTGCAGGGAGTTGTTAACGTTTTCAAACACGATTAAGTGCCGGGACTGCTTGGTAGACCATTGTTTGAAGCACCGGTTTGGACCCGACCATAAGTGTTCGGGACCGAAAAAACCAGAACCTGCTGGTTTTCCATTTGTTGGTCTTCTAAGTCGAAGTAGAAAAGAAGAGAAAGGCCCTAAGAAAGCATTGCCCCCCACAACATCTTCCTCTAGTTGGACTACATCCCTCCTTAATGCAGCCTCATCTGTTAAAGCCTCAGCCGAGGCGGGCATGACGAAGTTGTCGAATGAAATCAATCATGCTTGGAAAACAAAAAGCAGCAGCAGCAGCAACAATGGAAGTGCGAATAGACAAATCGAGCAATGTCCACAGTGTGGTGCTAAGTTTTCATCAGTTTCATCGTTAATAGACCATGTCGAAAAAGTCCACGAAAAGGGTGGCAATCGACCTGGGGCGAAGAAGGTAGTAATCGATGCTTGTCCGAAGTGTAGTAGAGGATTTGTTGATCCTGTCGCCCTCGTGGAGCATATCGAGAGGGAGCATGGTGGTACTTCAAGAGCTTGAGCAGCGTACATATGAAAGCAGGAAATCTTGCCAGTTGAGTCAGCTACACATCACGAGGTAGGAACGCCAGTTCAATCTCGAGTTTAATTGTTTAAACAAACCATCTCGTGAATGAATAGATCATTATGACTGCCCTCTGTAAACTTGATTTATTTTGGGATGAAGAAATCTGAGAAGTTCCCATTTGTAGAATACTTGAGTTATTGAATTCATTGCCTGGAAGACTACCCATTTATCTTCTTTGGTCATTAGTTATCTTCTTTGTTTCATTTTGCAAGTGTTTTGGAGTCGCCATTTATGCAATCATTTGGTTGATTTGTACAAATCATGTTGTATTTTCCTGCTGTATCAATGGAGTTTTGACTGAATTTCTCTGAACTCTCAAGTTTCAGTTCCTCATTTTTCTGGGTTTCTATATGTATGTATCTATACATGTTCCATCCATGCATGTACGTGGACAGAGACGCGAGAATATAATCTCATCCTTGACTCCATTTATCTAACGAGGAACGTTCCTCACCCCCTCTCTCATTCCTCGTCTAAACAGAGAAACCATACCCTGTTTGGGGCAGGTCTTTGCAAAGCTAGACATCTCTATTCGTACTTGGATTTTTTGCTTTTACTTGGAAAATAGTTATAATAAAAAGAATGAGTATTTAAAAATCCTTAGTAAGTGAACCCAATGTTGGAGTCGAAAATGCAAACACATATAACTATGGTTTCGTATTTTATGAAACCTAAAATCATGTTATTTAAATTTTTATTTTCGGGTGGGCTTGGATTCATAGTACTTTTCTATATATGACTCATGAACATACCGACTATGTGAATATCCTGTTTTTGTAGATCGAAGTTTATGCACTCTCGATTAGTCTAACAACAAAAACAAATAAGACCTATAATCATCATTGTTATAGATATGCCTCTATACAAACATTTGAGGAGAAATAATCTATGGTTAATGTACATAACATATGCACACAAGGTTTTGCATAAAAAAACATGATTTCATATGGTAATGTCCGTAATATTTTTTTTGTCTTTAGGACTCTTTCATCTTTAAGGGCTTCCTAGAATCTTATGATCCTATAAGAATCTTGAAATTCTTCGATTTGAATTCTTTTTCTTAATTGTAGTTCATCCAAAAATTAATATGATATGAAATTTTGTGATAGACAAAAATTTATCATCCACAAATTAAAAAATTAAAAAAATTAATGATTTATTATAATTTTTTTAAGATAAAATAACTATTAAATTAAAAAAATAAAAATTTAGATATGTATTAATTTTTTCTTTTAAATGGAACGATTTTTATAATATTTTATTTAAATTATGTAAAAGATTACGGTTCTATTGATCGAAGCCCTAGCCCAGGTCATAAGTTGGGCCATGTTAAATGGGCCGAAATTTGGGCCTCGCTGCTGAAATCCGAATCCTTTGTATAAACAGAAAAACCTCAAATATAACCGAAAACCACAGATTTGGCCGCCGCTTCATACACTCTGCCCGTGAGATTTCGAATCCCAACTCTGCAAAATCCTTCGCCGACGGTTTGTTTTCTTAATATCTCTGTCTTTTCGTTTCAATCTGTTCTGTTTTTCAATTATATTGGGTAAAAGAAGAAGAAGAAGGAGAAGAACTTGGCTTTTTATGTTTTTCCTTTTCCTTTTGTGATTCGTTATCATTATGAGTTTCCATTTAATGTATGGTTGCTTAGTTTGTTGTTGTTTTAAATATTGACAGTTGATTCTCGTTTTCTGGATGTTGGGTTCGTTCTTTCTTTGGTACTGAAAGATCGTTGTCGTAATCCTATATTAGAATTTGACTCGGAGGTTCTTAGTATTGAATCATTCATGAACTTGTAGATTGTATATTGTTGCTGGTTCTGAGCGAGAGAGACATTTGGGCATGACTATGTTAGGCTTTTATCGTGCATGTCAACGTGAATATGTGCAGTTTGGGGTTAAATTTGTATGAAATTATTGAAGAAAAGAGCGAAGCTAGGCTAAGGTCTCGGTGAAACTTCCTTAGAAATCTCAGGAAAGAGTTGGTAAGTTACTAGATTAGGTTTTTCCTGCATCAGGTTAATTTTGAAACATTGTTTAACTGTACATAGAATGAAGAAGAAATCTCAAGTTTTGATATTGTAGACTACAAATTTGATGAACTTTGATATAATATATGAAAAAATAATATTATTAATTGAGATCATGAGAATTGTGATTGAGAGGGGAAGTCATGACGCCGTAGAGGTAATAGGACCTTCTTAAATGACTCGAAATGAAATTTATAAAAAGCGACAATAAATATCGTTCAGAATTGCCTTTTAGGCATTCAACATTCTGCCATTAAATCTTTGTTTCTCTTTGAATAAAAGTTACTTAGTAGCTACTTAGTAGAATTACTCCTGCAGTCTAGGAACGTACCGTTATAAGTAAGAATTTGAGAAGGTTTCTCTCAACACTTTGATTTCATTTAACCATTTACCTACACAAAATGTACACCAGTTGGGTAAAGGGATATTGAGGTCTATTTCACTTTCCAAGAACATCGTCCCTCATTCATATGGAGAATTTGAATCCTTTCAGAAACTTGTGCCCCAAGATGGCCCTCATAGGAGTTGTCATGGGTGGCAATGAGAACGTCAATAAGGATTTGCAGTAAAGGGCATCTCCTAGAATATCTCTGATTAATGTTAAGGCAGTAAAGGGCGATGATGCTTCTTTTTCATCTATGATTTTCCACTGAAGTTTAATCTCAGAGCATATGAATTTTGTTCTCTTATTATATGGCAATGTACTACTTGAAATTGATTTGAATTTTATGATTTAAGCATTTGAGAACCATCCTTCTGGCATGCATTTGGACAAATGCACACTTTGTTGTTTCCTTCCGGTGTAGCTTTTAAGAAAGTTCTATGTGGCTTGCTGTTTTTGTTGGGTTTTCTTCACATTCTCTTTTTTTTTCAACCTCATCCATGGCAGTTGCTACATGTAATCTGCAAAAGATCTGTTCATAGATGGTATAAAGTTATAAACTGAAAACAACATCATATCTCCTAATTGATCGTTAAAATGCCTCTAATTTCCAGGTTCCTCTCCAATCTCATCACCTCTATTCATTTAAGAAATGGAATCCCAAATCAAACACGCTGTGGTGGTCAAAGTAATGGGTAGAACTGGATCAAGAGGGCAAGTGACGCAAGTGAGAGTTAAGTTTCTCGACGATCAAAATCGATACATCATGAGGAATGTCAAGGGACCTGTGAGGGAAGGTGACATTCTTACTCTCCTAGAGTCTGAGAGAGAAGCCAGGAGGTTGCGCTGATGATGCGATGTTCCCAGTTTTCGTGTTACAGTTACCGATGATTTTCTTTCTCATCATAATACACTCCTTACGACTCGAATGATGTCTGCTATCAATTTTCGCATGTTTTCAGAAATCTGGTTTTTGGTTACTGGCATGTTGTCTCAAACCTTAGATTTTAAGGTAGAGATAATTTGTTTGAATAGTCAAATGATTTAATTATTCCATCTTTATTTCCTGCCACAAGGGATTATTTTTTGTTTTGAGCGTGAAGAATTTTGGGGCGTACAATAAATTTGGTAATGTAAAATTCAATATGAATAATTTTAAAAATTAAGAAAAATAGTTACAAAATTTACAATGAATTATGTTAAGCTAAAAATAAAGGACAAATTAAAAATATTAAATTATGTATTCAATTTTAAATTTAATTTATTTTAATTTATAAAAGTTTTTTTCTTATTTAATATTTTATTTTTGAAATGTTTTTTTTTTCTTAAGAAAAACAAAAGTCAGCCCACTTTGTAAGATAAAATAAAAACAATTTATAGATGTACAGACCGGCCGAACCGAACCGGTTCGGTTTGGATTTTAACCTAACAAATTCACAAGCGGGTATCCCGAAGTCTCACACGCGTCTTTCTTAACACGCGAAGTTTCTCTCTGCTCTTCCAATTTGCCTCTTTCTCTCTCGTCTTCCTCACCGCCTCCCGCAGCCCTTCTCCTATCGACGTCGGTCCCTTTTCAGGCGACATAAATCAGGTACTGATGAAGAATAGTCCGGGAGGAATTTTCAGATCTGATTTTTCTTTTCGCAATCCCCTTCTATTTTCTCTTCCTTATTTATTATATCTTCTAATTTTCTTTTTTGTGTTTGTTTGTTTTTGATTTTCTTCGATCCATTTTTGTTCTGTTATGAGCTTTAGATTTTCTGTATGGCAAGGTGAAGAAAAGAGACCCCTTTTTTGTCGATCTATTCGTGTTTTCTTGTTCTATTTTCACATTATTTGTATGATTTTTTTTTTTTTTTTTAATACGAGTATCTGTATTTTTTTCACTTATCTTAGATCACGATTCTGAAACAACCGTCTTCAATTTCATTCTAAAGATAAATAGAATTTACTAAGAGGTTCTTAGTAATCCCCAATCTCAGGCTAAATGTATTTGATTCTTAGCTGTTGGGATTTATTCTGATTCAACTCAATCTTACGGGTATCGTTTGCTATTTTTCTACATTGGCAAACTTTTATTCAGATTTTTTATTCCTTCGTTCTTCCTGTTTGTGATCTTTTGTGGATTTTCCCTTTTGATTATTAGGGAGGAGAGATATGAAGGTGAACCACAGATTTTTTAGTGCTTCTAAATTGAAAACAGATGGTTGAGACTGATATTAATCTTTCACAAAAGAGAGAAGAAAAGAGTATTGGTTGGGTATGTGTATCATGTCATTTGAATTAAGAAGGTAGTTGGTTTGGAATAAAGTCTTAGAATAAAAATCTTTGAGTGGTTTTAGGGTTTTTATTGGGATTTGATAATTTTGGATGAGAGCGAAGAGAGTAGATGGAAGCAGAAACTCAGAAGTCTCTGCAATTAGGGAGTTCATTTCCTTGTCAAGTTTGTGTTGTGGGTTTCCTCTGTGGAGTTTGTATTGCTTCTCTGTTTCTTGGTGCTTTTACTTTATTTGGTGTCCCTTTGGAATTTGCTTGGAGTTTTTTCTCACCCAATTCAATGTATGCTTCACTTTGGAATTCAACTTCTGAAAATATTAGTAAAAGTTGTCATCATCATAGGAACTATTAAGCTTCAGTCATACTATTTTTCATCCAGTTATTGTTTATGTTTCTGTTTCTTTTTTTCTAAACATAAATAGTTACGGTCATGCTATGAAAAAACCTCATTATGACGTTCTTTTGAAATCTAAGAAAAGAAAGAAATCAAAGAGTATTCTCGGAGGTGTCAAAGCTTTTCAATGATGTTGTTTACCGCGCTATATCTTGTTGTAAATTGTCTAATACTTTTGTTTCCTGGAGGTCACCTCCCTTGTAGTAAATTGGGAAGGTTCTTTCTATAATTATTATGGGCAACACATGCCGTTCGTAAATGAAATCGAGAAACAGGAAATTAGAAACAAAAATGTTATCTATTGGGGCCTTAACTTAATAAAGTAGATAGATGTAGCTGGTGGAGTTTGGTGCAGTTCGATCTAATCCTGCGTATAATATGGTTCATTTGACTTGGGAACGTATCGATCCATTACAGTTAGACGATGGCAGCAAAGTACGTGGCAGCTTCTCTAGTCGGAACATTTGCAATTGCGTATATTGCTGATTACCTTGTTTCTGACAAGAAAATATTTGGAGGTAATGATAGTTTCTTTGGACTTCGGCCATTGCTTGGCTTTCAGTTTCTTTGATGTGCTACCATTGCTCTGTTGTGTTGATTTAATTTGTTTTCAGGAACAACCCCAAGTACTGTTTCGAACAGCGAGTGGTGGGAAGAAACTGACAAGAAATTCCAAGCATGGCCTCGTACTGCCGGTCCACCTGTGGTGATGAACCCAATCAGTCGCCAGAATTTCATCGTCAAAACCCGCTCTGAAGCTTAAATGTTACATTAGTTGTGAATCTATACACTTTTGATTGGATGGATCATTCTGCTATGAAACTACTGCCTAGTCATTAAGCAGTTCTAATCTGCCTTGCCTTCATGTTTTGAGTCGGGAACTTGAAGCAATTCTTGTTGTTCTGATAGTCATTCTTATTCCTCTTTAAAAGTTGCATCGTTGGTTTGTTATGATGATGATGTCATGATGTTGAATCTTAAATAATGCAGTGGAAAATTTCCCACCTCCTTCAGACAACGAACAATCATCATCTTTCTTATTTACTTCGATTTATGAGATCTCCAAGTTCTTCATAGGTGTCTGGTTTGCTTGTTTATGATTTCTTTGTTGCTGTAATTTAGGGTTCATAGTTCAATTTCTTCTTTTGGATTTTCCTTAGAAGGTTTTTAATATTTGGGTTTTTTCTCGAAGTTTTTAAAATGCATCTGTAACGGAGATTTTTCACCATCTGTGATAGAGATTTTTCACACCCTTATAAAATTTGTTCTCTCCAACTGAGGTGGGATCTCACAACCCACCTCATTTAGGATTTAGCATTCTTGCTAGTATTTGTTTCCTATTGGGGTTAAGCCTCTTTGCTGGCGCACCAACTTGTGTCCAGTTTCGAGTCCATTCCTTTTCAAGGCTGAGCCTCCTTGCTGACATATCACTTTGTGTCCACCCCTTCCGGGGCTCAGCCTCTTTGTTGGCACACTACCTGGTGCTGCACTGATACCATTTGTAATAGCATAAATCTACCACCAAAAAAGATATTGTTTTGAGGTTTCCCTTTTAGGCTTTCCCTCAAGATTTTTAAAATTGATCTACTAATGAAAAGTTTTCAAGTTTCGTTCTTTTCAACCAATGTGCAATCTCACATTAGGAATGGGAGTGGGATCCCAACGCATACTCCGTTAGATTAAGATTTTGAATTTAATCTTGTGGTCTTTCTATATGGTATTGTAACATCATGAAGAGCCCCCAAGCTCATTAGAGCAATTCACAACTCTGTATTCAACTCAAAGAAGATTACATCGTTAACCATTATGTAATATACAAATCTGGTTGGTTGATGATCAGAAAACAACGACCAGACTGTACAATAATGTATGGACACTCAGTTCCACCTGAAAACAATTACTTTCGTGAAGGATTCAAATTCAATCTTCATATCCAATGTCGTCGTTTGCATCTAGCACGACATCGAAGTTCAGGGAAGTCGGGAGCCCATCAATTTTGCTTGATCTCCATAAGCATTTCCACCACCACCTTCATTTTCGGCCTTTTGGCTGGTATGCTATCAGTGCATAGCAACGCAATCTTGAGAGCTGCAAGCATCTCCTTCCTCCATCCAAACGACACCGTGCTCAGCTGGGAATCAAGTATCTGTTCAGGCGTTTCGCCCCTTGACGAAGCACCATGCACCCACTTCACCAAGTCTACCCCTTCACCAAACTCCTCATCAACTGGAAGTCTGGTAGTGAGGATCTCAAGCAAGATAACACCGTAGCTATAAACATTTCCAGGTGCCGTAACTTGCATCGTGTACGCATATTCTAAACCGAACAACAAACCATTAGAATTTCCATTTCAGTTATAGCATTTCAGTTCACAATGAAGATTCAAGCAAGTTACCTGGTGGAATGTAGCCAAATGAACCAGCCACTGCACTAATGCTAGCAGTTCCTCTTGATGGATCGAGAAGCTTTGAGATCTCAACCTCTCCAACCAAAGGTTTGAAGTTTGCATCTAAAAGAACATTAGATGATGAAATATCAAGATGAATTATAGCCACATGATGAAGAAAAGCAAGCCCTTCTGCTGCTCCAATGGCTATCGAAAATCGTGTTGGCCAATCAGGTTGATACTCGGGTTGTTTTGTGGACTCGTGAAGCAGCTGAGCCAATGTCCCATTGGGTAGATAATGATGAAGCAACAGAGCCACATCTTCATATATTACATATCCAATGAGCTGCAGAAGATTAGCATGACTCAGTTTACCAAGCCTTTCAAGCTCTCTGATCATCTTGCTTTGATGATGAATGATTGTCTTATCCATGGATTTTAGTCTCTTAACTGATATGATCATACCCGAAGGCATAACTGCCTTGTAAACCGTGCTGAAAGTGCCAAAGATGAGCTTGTTCGAATCCTTCAACGTTGCTTTAACGACTGCGTCGAGATCTATTTCCTGTCGGAGATTATCATCGAAGACGTTTCCTGATATTATAATCGGTTGATCATCGACGGTTGCATCATCTGCAGTCCCTGAAGATTTAGCTGTCTTTTCCTGCTTTTCCTTCATTACAAAAAGTAAAACAACTATAGTTACTGATACGAAGACTGCCAGCCCGGAACCGATGACAGCTAGTATGATCTTGTAAGAGACCTTGTGATGGTAATCTTGATTGTATGACCCGATCGAGTTTTTACACGAAATGCTTAATGGCGCCCCGCAAAGGCCATCATTCCCTAGAAAACTAGAATTTGCACTTTTCTGGAATGGAACAAAAAAAGGAATCGAACCAGTAAGCAGATTATTCGAAAAATTCACCTCTATCAGGCTTAACATGCCCTTGAGTTCGGAAGGGATATCGCCCGAGAGATGATTGTTCGACAAATCTAACGAGACCAGTTTATCGAGCTTCCCCAACTCAGGAGGCACTGGTCCATTTAAATGGTTGAAACTCAAGTTCAAAGCTATCTGTAAATTCTTAATCCGACCGATCTCCGAAGGGATGCTTCCAGTTAAGTAGTTACTTCCGAGTCGGAGGTCGAGAAGCTTTGTACATTTTCCGATCTCATTAGGTATCTCTCCTTTGATTGAATTCTGTTCCAAAAGCAAGTACTGCAATCTTGATACATTGCAGATATCTGAAGGAATAGTACCGTTAAATCTATTGTTGCTCAAATCAAGCTTGTTGAGATTCTTACACTTGAGCATTGATCTTGGAATATCACCATACAGATTGTTGCCAGAAAGAATAAGTTCCTGCAGATTCATCAGTTCTCCAAGCTCAGAAGGAATTGTCCCGGTGAATCCATTCGAGGCTAGATTCAGCAAAGTAAGATTAGAGCACAGCGATATCCGAGACGTTATATCGCCCGAAAGGTGATTGTTATTCACTTCAAAGTAAGCAAGGCTACTAACATTTCCAATGGCAGGAGGAACAACACCAACAAGGTCGTTGTTCCCGATTCGAACGCTAGTAAGGCTTTTACAGTTCCCAATCTCTTCAGGAAGATTCCCATTCAATCTGTTTTGTGTTAGAACCAAAATCTCGAGCTTCCCCGAAGCGAAGACGCTTCGAGGAATCGGGCCTTCAAGCTTATTAGTATGCAGATTCAACACTTGAAGTTCAGAAACCAAGCCTAGATTATCAGGGATTACACCATCAAAGGCATTCTCATAGGCTGTAAAAACTCTAAGATGAGTGAAATTCCCAACCCACATTGGGATTGAACCATTCAATCTGTTGCTAGAAACTTGAAAATCCCTCAAATTCTCTAAGCCTTGAAGCTCATCTGGAATCTCTCCCACCAGTAGATTATTGGAGAGATTCAATGACTTGAGGTTCTTCAAACCACCAAGCTCGGGCGGGATGGAGCCATCGAACTTGTTCAAAGACAAATCGAGAAATTCGAGCTCGAATAAGTTAGCAAAACTCGATGGAATTTTTCCATGGAAGTCATTGAAGGAAAGATCCAGCCATTTCAAAGCCTTGAGCTGAGAAATCACAGTTAGATTACCTCTAAGAGAGTGACCAGAAAGATCAAGAGCTTCAACCATGGAATGATTCAAACCACAACGAACACCTTTCCAAGAACAGTAATCTGAGATGTTTGAGCTCCAGCCAAGAACTTGAAGGTCCTCTCTAATGGAGGACATGATGATTTGATCATCAAGCTCAGCTACCAGAAACTGGGAATTTGAAAGAAACCCAAGAACCAAAATGAAGAGATAACAACACAAAGAGGCCATAAGAGATTGAAATGATTCACAAAAACCCCTTTAGAAATTGAAGCTGCCAGACCAGATCTTCCTCAAACTTCCCTTCCTCTAAGAGAAACACATTTCAGGGCAAAACCCCATAATAGACCGAAAGAAACCAAAGCAAAAATCAATCCCACTTTCCCACATTACCCATTTCAAGAAACAGGAAATTTCCAAGAAACCCCATCAAAGAGGGAAAGAGGAAGAACTGAATTCAAACCCACGAAAACCCATCTAAGAAACAGAGAAATCCCAAGAACATTCCAGTTTCCAGACAAGAAAACATCGAAAAAGAGAGCCAAGAAACCCCAAAACCATAGATTCAACAAAAAACAAGTGAAGAAAAGCTACAACCCAAAAGGGCAAACAATCAACCAACAAGAAACAACAGACAAAAAAGGGAAAAAAGTAGAAGACATCACAGAAAAACCTGAAGAAGCAATGGAGAAAACACTATTCCCAGATGAAATTGATGAAGAAGAAGAAGAAGAAGAACAGTGAAGAACATGAGATTAGAAGGAAGAAGGGTTTTTGATTCCAGAGTTTTAGAGAAGGGTTTTGGTGGGAAAGGGATTTGTGGGTCTGAGAGAGAGGAATGGATGTAAGTATCACGAGAAACGAAAGGCGAATTGATTTGGGTTTGGAGCATAAAAGAAAAGGGAAAGGGAAAAGGGAAAAAGGGGAAAGGAGTATGAGTAGCAAGTGTTGCAGAAGGGGCAGGGAGTGGTGGTGTGTAATGTATGTATCATTCATGGGACAACATGCTTTATTAGTAATATATTTTTTCAGTTGCCAGTTTCTGCCTTTTACATTTTCCCAATTAAATTTCTCAAAATCTTTTTTACAAAATTTTGGGGAATGTATGATTATGGCATAAGTTGAGCAGTTTTTAGCTACATTTCATCATTTACTACACAATTTTTCTCAAATCTATTTATGGAAGTGTTTACATGAACGTAGAAGTTGGGTGGGGTTATATACAACCCAATCCTCCCCTTCTCTATTACTTCAAAATTATTATCAAAATTAATGCAATACGTATGGTACATAAGTGATATTTTTTAAAAAACAACCTGACAATTCAGCCCAACTCAACCAAAAAAGAAAGGTTGGATTAAGTTATTAACTTTTTCGAGTTGCTCGAGTCACCGACCACTAAAAAAAATTCCGACCCAAGTAATATATATTATTATTTCAATCTAAGAGGACTAAATTTTAACTTTTAAAACGAAAAAGGTAAGTTTTTTTAACTCGGGTTAAAATTGGAGAAATTAAATTAAATTCTTTTATATGAAGAACCACATCTCCAACATCATGATGAGTTTGGTGTTTATATCTATCCCATCCTTTTGAAAATGTATATGGTAAATTGTTGTCATGCTTGGATTGGTATCTATTGCTCAAATATTGCTATTGATGGGATGGATTTTTATTTTCAATACGTCTTCAAAAACTTTATAATATAAGAAAGTATACCAAATTTGGATAAACATATAATACATTTTAAACCAAGATTTCACATTTATGAGTCTTATTCGTTTGAATTTCTGTGATTATCTGATAATGACACAGAACTGAATTGAACGTAGATAAAGAAGTGTTTAGGTTAAAAAAAATTGAACAGTACACTTCAGCCGAACAGGACCTTACGGCTCAATGAAGCTCAAGACATGTCGGATTCAAACTTTTTCTAAACAAATTTGAAAGAATGGAAAGAAAAATCTAAGTCAATTCTTATATAAATAGAATATGAAAACGGCTCAACAAGTAATATAAATTTTAAAATATTTATTACATTTTAAAATATAAGCTAATAAAATCAAGTTTTGCCGATTTAGACGTGGTTTTGAAGTATGGATTTGACACATGGTTACTCCAGCATTCTTCTTGTATCTACCACGATGTGCCATGCTAACTATTTGGGCTTGAACTGCGTCTAATAGCAATGTCGTATCAAAAACTAACATGAGTCCTTCCAAGGGACTTTGTTCTCAGTCATATTTCTTAGTAGAATTTTCAAGAAGTCATCCCATTGTTTCCCGCTATACATGCTTAATTTTGGAGTTCTTATGATTGACCCACTGAAAATAAAGATGCACCTTATTGGCATTAAACAGTAACTATCTATTGTTTTAAGCATTTCTTAATCACGCCTTGCATAGCCTTAGGACCCCTCTCATTTTGATTGATACGTTCATTCATGTACCTTTTCTACATTATTTCAGCTCTAACAACATCTATAATACGCTAGATCATCGTAAATCATTCCCATTATTAGAAACTAAAAACTTTCTTTCTAGTTTGATGCTTGAAAGAGAGAGAGAGAGAGAAGGTAAGATTGTTTGCATGTGGAAGAAGGAAATGTTAATGAGGAAAGCATGTGAGAAGAAATTTGATTGCTCATACACATCACTCTTTGAAAATGACCAAATGTTGCATTACCTAAACCATCATTTCACCTCTATATGTACAAACACAACTAGGCCCCCCACATTTTGCTATCATGCCCTCAATTTCAATTTATGGGGTAACCCATGTCGTTTTTTTTTTTTTCCCCCTTCTCTCTCTCGTTTTTCTTTTGAAAAATCTTCTTTCGTTTCAAATGTGTCATGTCTCGAGCGTAATTCATGATCATTCCTTAAATTAGTCAATGTGGGACTCTCGAGGCCTCTGGAGCCCTCGAAAAAAGTACACCATTTATTTGACACTTGAGGATTCTATTGACATAGCTAAGTTAAGGACATGACTCTAATACCATGTTAGGAATCACGACCCTCCACAATGGTATGATATTGTCCACTTTGAGCATAAACTCTTATAGTTTTGCTTTAGGTCTCCCTAAAAGACCTCGTATTAATGCAGATGTATTTCTTACTTATAAACTCATGATCATTCTCTAAAGTAGTTAATGTGAGACTCCCTTCGAACAATCCTCAACATTCCCGTGTAATTTTATGGTCCTCTATTATTTTTCGTTACATTATTATTATCCTTAGAAAACATCAAATTTGCTTTTGAATCCATTTTCAAACAAATCTTTTAAGATGGGTCCTTTCTTTTCTTTCTCTTTTCTTGTTTGGTCACTTTTTCTCTTTTCCTTTTCTGATTTTCCAAATCATGTAAGAGTGACCCAAAAATTCCTTTATTGCCAAAAGGGCTATGTACACCGTTTAGATCAGGTTGTGTTAGAGAAAATTTTTGGATTCACCTGAAATTTCAGGTTGGTTGGGTTGGTGACCAGAGTAACTCGAACAGAGGTCATAACCCAATCCAACACAATCCAAAAACATAGGGTTGAGTTGTCTATTTTTTTATTTTAAATCTTACTTATCAACCATACTTGTTGTATTAATAACTAAAATCTCATAAAACTCAAATATAAAACATTCACACCTCACAATACATTACTATCATCAATTTTTTATGTCAAATATTCTTAATTTTCATAATAATCTTAAAGGTAAGGTTGGGTTGCAACTCTACTTTCGAGTTCGATGGGTTGACCTGACTAAAAAATGTCAACTTGCATAACGACCCAAATCTTCGATTTCCCAAAAATTCGACTGAACCCCCTCCCTCCCCTTAAAAAAAAGACTAACCAAATTCAACTTTTATACTTTGAGTTGGATAGTTTGGGTTAGTCGGGTTCTCGAGTCACATGAACAACCCAACTATATAGTTTTCTTTCCCCTCATGCACATAAAATAAAATACTAATAGGAATTAGTGTTATTTTTAGTAATTATTTAAAAAAAAAAAACTCAATTAAAACCCAAAAAAGAGAATATATGATTTTTTTTTATTTTTAATTATTATTACAAAAATACCTTGAATTGCTGAAAGACTATTCTCCCAACCATGGTCAAACTTCTCAAAAATATAATAGAAATAAAAAAAAAAAATATACCTTTTAATTTATAATATATGCATGTGTAATTTTGATTAGAAAAAAAAAGGGGGGAAGATAGAATGCCAGAGCTGTGATGTAAGAAAACAGCACAGTCAGGGGTGAGGGAAGATTTGATTGGGTGGTCAAAGTCGGTGACAGAATACTTTGTGTTATTTTAGATTTGCTGAAGTTTCACTTTTTGATTAGAAAGGAAACTTTGTCATTTAATTGTACTAATCATTATGTCTTCAATATTTTATGTTATAAATTAAATATAAAATTACAAATCCCAAATTTTAAACATTTTTTTTTCTATTTAATTCCTAAATTTTTAATATCATATTTATTATTTTTCAAGCTTTAAGAAAGCTTTGATAATTTTATTAAATTAATATAGAATATGTCATAATGATCACAAATCGATTAACTGAGAGAAAGTTTAGTTGAGAACGGTTCTAATTAAGAGGAAGATCATGAGTATATAAGTAAACGATATAATCTCTATTCGTAAGAAACCTTTTAAGAGAACCAAAAGCAAATTCATTAGAATTTATACTCAAACCGAGCAATATCATATTAGTATGGAGAGTCGTTGTTTCTATCAAGCTCCAATTTAGTTCTCTATGAAGAACGGTCCGCTTCGTTCCAGCTTTGGCCTTAACCAAGGTTCTCTGTTGCTTTTTCCATTCGATGACACCTCTACAGGTTTGTTTCTTCAATGATAGAAAGATTCTCTGTCTCGACCTTGACCTCGATGAAGGTTTTTTGTTGCTTCTTTTCTCCCGTTACACTTTTTCAACATGCCTCTTTACTACATTGGTTCAAGACTAGGTTTGCTCCTCCCATCGTTCTAGACCTCGACCTCAACTCCCGTTACCTTGGCTCTTTGATATCGTGTATATGCTAGTCGTTTGATAGCCAACGAGTCAAATTTAAATTACCAAAAAAATAATAAGAGAGAGAGAGAGAGAGAGGTTGATTAATGATGATGGAACAAAGGTAGAGTTGATGTAGGGTTGCAATATATAATTGAAATGTAACAAAAATAAAATGAATAACAACTCCAAGGAAGCACATCCAAAGAAAGGCAAACAAAAACTCCTTTCATTAAATTATTGGAGGGAAGTCACATTAATTATTCATATCATAAAGTTTTTTTAAAAAATATTTGTATCAAATCAATGGGGATGTGGGACCAAGTGATGGGCATTCGGGTTGAAATATGAACTCATCTCACAAACACAATAGGTAGTAGAGTACTCGAAACATGTTTTTCCATAAAAAAAGAGTTTTCGGTTATAAAAATCGAACTTCTGATCTATTGGTTGAAAACACAAGCTTCGTACCAATAACTTCGATTAAACTTACAAATTAGAATAGTTTAGGCGTTTCAGTTGGTGGGTTTTGCTTCCCGTCACCTACAATTGTTGTCGTTGACACTCCTCTACTTTGTCTCGAGTCCTTCTCTCTCTTAAATGAACAGTCAGGCTCAATCAGGCTTCCTCACCACTCTCAGGGAGGTCGACACCTTGTTCAATCAGGTTCAGGAGCGAGAACTTTGAGGACTTAAATCTCTCTATCTCTCAGTTGTAGTAAATTTTTTTATTGTGCCTCTCTTTGCTGATCTTCAAAGTTTCCTAAGGGTTGGATTAAGGTTGAGTAGGTTGAGGGTGATTTGTTGTGCTTGCTAAAAATTCTTCGAGAAATGAGACTTTCCTAGAGGACAAACGTTTTATTTTTCAAATTTGTTAGATATGTATGCACATGGCGTGCTTTGTGCATTGTATGATTATGATGTATGGTAAAGCATGATTGAAAACTGTGATGGGACCTATTTGATGAATGGTATAATAGTTATGATGACAATGACTTTTGTTGTGGTAAATACTCATTGATTGGTTGGTTAGCCACCAGAGTCACCGTATGGACTGAACTTTAACTTTGTTGTGTTGTGTTGTTCCATAAGGGGATTTGGGCATTACGGATGATCAATAATTTTTTTGGAACTGACCACTGCGTACGAGTTGAGTGGTTAGCTTCTCTGTATATCGTTAGGATCGAGTTAGACAATCCTGATCTAGAACAAGTAATGGTCGAGTGATCCATTTTTTAAAAAAAGAAATTGGTCTCTTGATTATATTTATTGTTCATGTGTGTCTGCATATATAACCGTGACAAGAGTGTGTCTTACTAAATATTTTTAATAACTTTGATTAATACTATATTTGTATGTTAGGACAATACAACTGTTCCATTTATTCCTAGTTTATTTATGTCTTACTAGTTTGAATCTTTTGAAGTATACAAATTTAAAAATTTTGAAATATATATATGTGAGATTCTATATTGATTGGAGAGAGAAACGAATCATTCCTTGTAAGTGGAAACCTCTCCTCAATATACGCGTTTTTAAATCGTGAGGCTGAGGGTGATACATAACAGGTCAAAATGGACAATATCTATTAGCGGTCGACTTGGATTATTACAATATGGTCAGGTAGTGTGCCAACAAGAACGCTAGCCTATAAGTAGAGTGGATTAGGAGAACTCACACCAGTTGGAGATGAAAACGAAACATTCCCACAGATGTATTCGATGATATAAAAGGTCAAAGCATGAAGTATTTGTTAGCGGTAAAATTTTCTCTTAATTTTAATATTTTTATAATATAATATTCCTACTCACATATTAATAATTATTATAAATTTTAAAAAATAAATTGATTAATACACAAATGAATAATTTAACAAAACCCTAAAAAATCACAAATTTTAAAATGAAAATAGGCAGAAAGGAGAAAGAATTAAAGAATGTTTTATTTTTCTAAAAAGAATATAAATTATGAGAACTATAAAATAGTTTAAGTTCATCATGATTGATGTAAAATTAAATATATTAATAAAGAAAAGGTAACTTTTTAAAATAATAATAATAATAATTTATTAAGTTCTTTTTGGTTAGTCAAAAAGTTGAATAAAAAAAAGGGAAGGGACATTGGGGCAGGAATCAAGGGTTTAGGACCTGGTTGGTGCACCCTCATCATATCCAATCATTTCTCTTAATTTCCCATTCTTTTATAATTTCCTGTCTTTTTTTTTAAACAAAAATATTTAAATTATTCTTATTATATTCAATAACATACCAGCATGTTTATTCTCAAATTTTAATTATTTTCTAACTTTTTTTTTCTTTAATATATATTTTTAGCTCGAGATAAATTGCATAATTTTTTTTTTTTCAAAATTGAACTAGATACATAGAAATTAAATAAAACATTGACGGAGCTTCTCGAATAAAAAAATTGAGATAGACTGAAAATGAATTGTTAATTTATTGAAGTTATAAATGCACATTTTTTTAATCTTATGAGAGATTATCATGGCTCTAAGTTCTAAACAAATTTGCCAATGTCTTACCCCTAATTAATTAATTTGTGTGATTAGTATTATGTCTAAATCATAGAAACCGAACTTGAACTTGTAAGAAGCTAAATGGAAAGTTTTAAAACGAGCACTACGCTCAAACTATAGAAACCTAACTTAATCTTGTAAAAATGATATCCTTATCTCGTCTAACCTACTTAAAAAAATAAACATATTCATGTTAGAACATAATTATTTGTGAGAAACACTCGCACTCTTTATTAACACTAATCGATAAGAGATTATAAGACATTTTATATAATATACTACACTTTCCTATTTGAGTCTGTTTGGAATTTCTTGAGATTTTTTGGGTTCATAAAATATATGACCATTTATTCCTAAAATACGTTAATCTCTTTTTTAAAATACTTATGCATCTTTGTTCTTAAAATATTAGAGGTTTATTCCTAAATTTGATAGACAATTGGCTCGTAAAATTATTAGATTAAGAATTCAAACATATAATTCTTAAATCAAAGAAACAAGGCTAAAACATAAAAGAAACAAGGGGTTTGTTAGGGAACAAAGTTGATGAAAAAAGGGCTTTTTTTTCTCCTTGTCTCTGAGGACAAAGAGTGCCCAATTTCATCTCCCACCTTTCTACCAATGTCATGTGGAGGGGTGATGGGGTGTGGGGGATGAACCCCACTTTATAACTCATAATTCTAAGCAAAAATATACCATTTTTTTTTTAAATACAAAAAATTAAAAAAATTAAAAATTAAAAGCTATTAGGATTCAGCCCTCACTTTAGAAGACATGTATCATGAACCTTGTATCATGGATTGTCTCACCTATTTCGTTCTCTCTCTAGCCTCCTGTTTCTTTCTCTCTCTAAACCCTATGGAAAGGTTTTTTTAAAAACAAAAATTTGTAAAGTTGTCAAATAGAAAATAGAATTAAAAAGGGCAATTTTAGATTTTTTTCATCAATTTCAAAATGAAACCTTTTATTTTATTGAATATATGGAGAAACTTATTATACCTTTTAAAAAGGGCTTTTGTAGCTAAATTTTATGTGGTTTATTGTTTAGATTTTTCAAAATTGATTGATTAGTTTTTAATATTTTTTTTAAGATAAGTATTAAATTTACTATAGCTTCACGTTCGAGATTCAATAAATAATTTAAAAACTACAATTAAGGCTTGCAAGAGAGTAAAAATGATTTTTTTTCCTTAAAAAATAATGATAATTACCTTATTGGAGGTGGAAGGATTTCCAAACAACTTCTGGTTTCCCTCTTCATGGGCCTAAGCTTGGAAGAATAGAGCCCAAAAAGCGTAGCCCAAATTGCGTCTTATTCTGGGCCAAGATTAAGACTATGATAGTTTTGGGCCAGGCCCATCATGGATTTGAGTAAAACCTTGCAGTGCCATAAGATATCAATAGAAAATTTTGTTTACCATTCCCAGTAGTTTTGTTGTCATGTGTGCATCCCTTTAAAAATAATGTAGGATCATCAATATTAAATAAATATTTATGAAAGCTTTTTTTTTTATATAAAAAATAATAATAATAACGTGAGATCCATCAACATTAAATAATTATTTAAGAAATAATTTCTCTCAAGTCAACATTATAGATTTTAAAAAATAACCTTTTTCAGTTCTTAAAAAGTTTTACGATCTCACCTTCTCCATTGGAGATGATGCCAGAAATGGCTGCCATGGATCCATGGATGGCCAAGCTTTCGCTGCCCATCAAACCACCAAGTTCCCTTCATTTCTATAGGGCTTGGAAGATCCAAAACTGCAAGTTTTAAGTTCAAAGCAGGCACAATTAGCACAAGGGTTACATTTTACGGTGCTTATTATCACATCAAACTTCATGACTTTGGCCATTTATGTGGCCTTGTCTTGGACTATGTTGTAGTTGTTCCAGCCTAGATGATATTGGTACCAACATATATTTCTTATTGATGAAAAACATGCTTGGGTTTCTTTAGAAATTGTGTCCTCTTTGTAATCATGGATGACTTGTTTCTATGAGAATTTGTTCATCTGATAATCATAGATATTAAAGGATTATATAATATAACTATATGGTGAAAGTTCTTAGCAAAAGGCTTGCAAGTAAATAATAGTCACAAGATTAAATGTTTAAGAACATATTCTAAAATCTTAAAATCGATCAATAAGAAAATAACCCATAATCACAAGTGGGTCAAGAGGCATATTCCCATTCTTATTATTGTTCAAGATTATAGTGTCACAGAGCTGAATTCAGTTGATTCTCCCCCTAAAGGACGAAATATATTGAGGAGATTTCAAAATGGAGAAATAATGATGCATACTTCAAAGCTCTATGTTTCATATCAAGCTTTAATCAATTCTGGTATACTACTCTATGATATTTAATTTGCTTACAAATCTGGCTCCATCAGAACTTCCCAGAGACTGTCTACGGCAGAGTTAGGACCAGGCTATAAATGAAGGGATCTACTCGGAGTTTGTCAAGCAATCTGCAAAAAAAAGACGTGTTCAATTTTCCCAAGTAAAGCTGTAAAAATTAATGTGTTTTGTCGGACTTGCTTGCTTTGAAGACATCAAGTAGAGAGGAAGCTGGGAGTTGAGAGCGTCTAGTACCGTGTATATATAGGGATCTTGGCGCCCACCTGTTCCGGATCTTTTGATCTCTTCCAGTTTCAACAGGCTGCCAAGGAAGGGGAATCAGAGAGCAAACAGTTTCATGAATATAAAATTGATCCTAATCAATCCATAAGCTTGATATTTTGGATCTACGTGTTGCCTAATATTTGAACTCACATAAGAAAGAATAGAGTTCATTCCCAACAGTGATGTTATAAATTATCATCAAAGGAGAAAGTAATCCGAGGGCATAGATGATCCGACCGTGTACAGTAAATGTGTGAATTGGAAGCACTGGTTAAAAGCATACGGTGGGATCATAGACTTTACAGCCAACGTGGTGAGATGTGAGAGAGAGAAGAATGAATTACATTCTGAGAGCCTTGCTTGTGTCAGGGCTGTCGCCAAGCACTTGGCGTATCTTCACCTCAGAGGAACAGCCACCAGAGAGGTAACTCATAATGGCTTCGGCCCGCCGGCGCATATGAGCCGTTGCGACGTGCCTTTTCCTCCATACGTGACGAATCATTTCTAACTTCTTCTCTGCTCTGGTAACCAGGCGATGGATTGGCGCGCTTGTGACCACGCTTGAGCTGCTTGACAAACAAGACGACTCCGAGGACACGGAGCCTGAAGTCAGGGTAACGTCGTCTGTCGAAGTGAGATTCCGGTTCTCGGATATCCGTATTAGCTTCGAACGACTCTTTCTCACGACCTGTGGGGAAGTTGTTAGACTTCAGAGTTTCATATTCAAAATTATCAAATTAATTAGCAATTATACGCTTCTTCGATCGAAGTATTAAGACTTGGAATGCATCTAATTGAAATTAAACCGGCTGAAATTCATTTGACAGATAGGTAAGTAGTCTGGAGGAAGTGAAATTCTAACATTCGGATCAAATTGACGTTGATATTGAAGAAGAAACAGCAACAATGATTGGATAGCCAAGCATCGATAATAGAGCGTATGATAAGCCAAGCATTATTGAACACGAACTAAATTCAGATACCAGCAGAAGATTTCCCGATCGTATTGAGCTCATCCAGAAACTAATTCAAATAAAAAAAAATAAAAAAAATAATCCTAAACGCCAATCCAAATCAATATTTCTTTTACTTCAACCAAAACACAGGATAACACACAACAGAAAATGAGCAAACGAAAACAGAGCCTAAGGTACCACATCAAACAACATACAAGAAGAACAAACTCAAAGACGCATAAATCAGCTAAAACAGATGAGAAGTAAAGAAAATTACATGAAGCTTGAGATCGTCGCGATAAGCTGGAGTAGAGAACAACAACGGCTCCTCAACTCGAGTCTCGGACGATTCATCTGATCTAGTGAATACCGAAGAGCAAGACTTCGAATAGTCATAAAGCACCGTTATCTCTCTCAAGAAACTTCCTCCGATAGTGTCCTCCTCAGACAACCACTCGTCTTGACAAACCGACCTACAGAGAGTCAACAAAACACAGAAACAGAGAATGATAAAAGTGAAAGAAACGGATGATCAAATAGAACAGAACAGAGCAAATTAACAGAGAAAACAGAAATTGAATAAGATTCGAAATCTTACACAAGCGGAGACGGCGGAGGAGGTGGCGAAGTGGAGAGGAGGAGCAGAGCAGAAGCGACTGTGCGTTCTAGAGAGCAAGGGAACTCTGCCATTGATTCTATCAGTAACGACTTTGTGGCGGGTGATTCTCAATTATTTGAAATTTTTACTCTCTCTTTCATTTGTATGGTTCATTATATATATATATATTCTTTTGAAAAAATTGAAAAAAAAAAAGAAATAATTGATTATTGCTATTTTTTTTATTATGTTTTAGGAAAAAATTAATTAATTATATGAAGACTTGGGAAACACCGTACTTTGATAAATTACAACAACTAATGCAACTATAATAGTCCTTATAATTTTACTCCCAAACTTTCATTTTATAAAGTGATTATAATATTTATTTAACTCAAAATTATTATTATTTTTTTTAATTTCTAGACGATATTGAGCTGTCATTTCAATTTTCAAAAATAAAAAATTTGAGTTATATTGTAAAAATTGTATACGGCCAGGATTTGATTAAAACAATATTTTACGTGACACTCAAGTAAATGAGTGATATATGAATAAACTGAGATCACATTCGAATGAGAGTGATCATGAGGACAAGATGACTAAGAAATGCTTAAAAGAATTGTAGTCACTATCCATTCCAACAATGTGCACCTTCCTTTTCGGTAGCTCAATTATAAGAACGTTAAGCGTAGTTTACTTGAAACAATTCTATGTTGGGTGATTAAAACAATATTTTACGTGACAAACGTTAAGCATAGTTTGATTAAAACAATACTTTACGTGACACTCAAGTAAAGGAGGGATACATGAATAAATCGAGATCACATTCGAATGAAAGCGACCATGAGGATAGGATGACTAAGAAAGACTTACAAGAATTAAAGTCATTGTCCATTCCAACAATGTGCACCTTCCTTTTCGGTAGCTCAATTATAGGAACGTTTAGGTTAGTTTACTTGAAACAATTTTATGTTGGGTGGTTTCCTAGTAAAATTTTCTTGGGAAGGAGAATAAAACATGCTAGAAAGACTGTGTTAGTCTATGAGGATAGTCTTCACTCTCTCCGATTAACATGCATACAAAAGGTCGTGGTTTCAAAAGGTCAATTTTAGGTATGCATAACATCATAGCAACTTTAGGCATGTCTCGAGTTTTAATGAGTCTCAGAAGTCCAACTTCGTACCTTTTCGGCATAAACTGTATATCTCGTCTTGACTTTTATTCTAGAACTGTAAAGGAGAAAGACACTCTATTTTTTTCCGAACAGAATTCCAGGCCAGGTCCCAACCTTTCCGTCACAAGAGATCACTCTTCGAGGTATAGCTCAGGAGAGTATATGATGTCGATGACCGTGGTAGAGCACGATTGAGAAAGGCTTCAATAAAAACGAGATCTTCCGTGAGCAGCTATTGAACTGAATGTTCCAATGCGAAGCAGCTAAGCGAGCGATATTCTGTCTCGTTCCCGTTCTTCATTTTCTTAGGTTCGGAGAGTGTCTTACCCATTAATACAGCCCCAATCCTACTCAAACCAACATATTTCATGTAATCAAAACATCCTAAATCAGCGTCAATTCTAAGAATCTAAAAAATGTTGTTTTGAAAAAAAGAAGAAATTATATAAAAAAAAACGATAAGTGAACCGAATCCAACACCTATTTGATCTCAACATTCGTATAAAATAAACTGAATACGACGCTTATTTGATCTCAAAATTCGTGTGATCCTAACACCTATTTTATCTTTTAACAAACATCCTAAGCTTATATTTAGTGGATATATGTCCCACCATTAATAAAAGTTGATATTTAAGAATTGTGAAATGGACAAGATTGGTTTATGCATCCAAACAAACAAGATTTCCAACCCATACAAAATGGTGTGGTCAATTTGGATAGAATATGGGGCCATTAACCAACCATTGCTTTGACATATCACAATCAACACTCAACCCTACCCTTCAACCTTTTTCCTTTATTTGACCCACCATTCGAGTAAAATACGAACCGTTCGAATGCCAAATAAAGTATCGGTTTTGATTTTGATATGAACTTTACGGCCTAATATGACCATAAATATTAGAGATAATGAGCTTAATACTCTTAATTAGTTAAAAAATATATTTTAAGTATTGAAGTATTGAATTTAATATGTTTTACCAGGAGTAATTCTGCCGGAAAATTATCATAGGATGCACGTGAATGAAGACAAATCATCCTAGAATGACTCGTGTTGGCATGCAAAGATGGTCTTCACTATTAGAAGTGAAGAAAAAGTAATCTTACTACGTGGATGTAGTGAAATATCATTGTCTAATAGATTTCAAAAGTTCTAACCATTATGATGGTATGACATCGGTACAAACGTTAAAATTCATAATCTTTTTAATTTGGGTTAGATTACAAAAAAAATGTCAATCAACAAACTGAACAGAATTTTTGTTAGTTTTCCAAAAATTCAACCCAACCCAAACCGAAAAAAATCTAACCCAACCTAACCTAACCTTTATAACTAGGTTAAGTAATCTAGATTCAGTCATATTATCGAATCATATGAATATCCCAATAGAAAATTAAAAATTTCCAAATTGATTAGGCTTTTATTGTATAGGGACCTATCAAACATAATTTAAGGCCTAGGGACTAATGGAAAATTATTTATTTTAAGTAATTATTATAATATAAGCTAGTTTTGATAATATTTAGATGGATAAGATAAAATAATCGTGTCAAATTTGGAAATCAAGGTGCCAATATTTTATTTGATAAAGTAAAGTTATGCTAATTTAATTTATTTAAAGTTAAATGATATTTTATATCAGACGTGGGCTATGAATTTAGAATAAATAAAAATTCATAAAATAATGGATTTGCTCCTAATTTTCAGTTCAAAGGATCATTTGCTTTGACTACGTTACCTATGGTTGTGACAGCTTCACGGCTTTTCTTTTCAACTTTTATAAGAAATGTTTCTCTCCTTTCCATTCGATGTGAGATTTCATAATCTATCCCTTGGGGGCCACCATCCTCACTAGCATATCATTGGGTGTCTAATTCTGATACCATTTTGTAACAGCTCAAACCCACTACTAATAGATATTTTCCGCTTTAGCCTGTTACGTATCATCGCCAGCCTCACGATTTTAAAACACTTTTATTATAAAAAAGTTTCCACATCCTTCTAAGAAATGTTTCGTTCCACTCTCCAGCCGAGACAAGATCTCACAAAATGCTTCTAAGAGTGACGAAATGAGTACATGTTCTAACTTACATACTTTTTGAGACCGAATCCTCAGCACAAGATATTATAAAATTCAATCGAATGAGTGAATAGAAAATTATTTAATGAGCATCCCACTTTTTTTACTATCCAAGGCTTCGATACATTTCGAAATCGAGAAATTTCTATCGGAGCAGGTTGATTGACTCTTCTAAACTTTTAAATCTACCGTTAAATTATACGGTCGAAATTGTAAGACATGTTTAAGGTTTTGTTTAGAAGTTAATATCTTTTTAAGTAGCTGACTCGTTCGTGTTTTATATAAAACATATTTTAATTTTCTATTAATAAATGAAGATTAAAATCCAAAATTTAACTTATTTTATTTTCCTTCCAATATATTTACAATAATTTCTTTGGTCATTTTCAATCTAAAAACTATAAACAATTGAATAAATAATCATTTGATAATGACACATCAACAAGAACTCACACTAATGAAAATAATAACAATAATAGTAATAATAGTAATAATGATAGTTTATTATTAAAATTAACTCACACTATAATTATGCATCTTATAACAAAACATTACTCTATAATAATGCATCATAATAGGAAGAAATTTAACTCCTATAATAATGTAAATATTATAAACTTATTGATGCAAGTTTTATTTTGGAAATAACTTATTGACTAAATTATTAATTAACCCTAAATGCTATAATTGACATTTATTTTACAAAAACAAGTGGATTAATTAAGTTTTTTTATATAGTTTTAACGAGCGAAAAAAATTCAAACATCTAAAATTTCGGTCGAATTTGTGACACTTGAGTAAAGGAAGAGTATATGAATGAATCGAGACCACATTTAAATGAGAATGATACTAAAGATATGATGTCAAGTAGCACCTTCTTTCCTGGTGGCTCATTCGTATGAACTTCATGACTAAGCGTATTTTGCTTGAAGCAATTATAAGTTGAGTGACCTCTTGAAAATTTTCCTTAGATGCATGTGAGTGAATATAAATTATGATGGAATAACTCGTGTTAGTTTGTAGCGATAGTTTTCACTTATAAGAAACGAAGAGTAGGTAACCTGACTATGTCGCGAGGATTAGAAGTATGTCGGGGTCATCAGAGACCGATAGAATGACTAAGAAAGACTTAATAGAATTGTAAGTGAGATTCTAAATCCTGGGTATGAGGCGTTACAACCAATCATATGTAAATAGTTAGAGAATCCTCACCTCGCTTCTAAGGAGTGAAAGTTATCCCCACAAACCAGCTCGAGTCCTTTCAACTTGTTTTTTCTTCACTCACATGCATTTTAGAAAAATTTCTAAGAGGTCACCCAAGCAAGGGCCTAATTCTCTCAACCTAAAATTCTATGTAACCCAACTCAATCCTTATAATTTGGGTTAGGTCTGTTCGAATTTTCTAGTTCAATGTATACCTTTACTAAAAGCAAATCTAATACTTTGATGAAATTTTATACGACAAAATTTAAATTATTATAAAATTTAACATGTAAAGATTAAATCATTATTCACACCAAAATAAAAGATTAAATTGCTACCAATCAAAATTAAAACACTAAATTATTCACGACCATTAAATCAAAAGTATTTATTAAAAAAAATTATTATTGATCTATTGGAACATAATTCACTAAATAAGTACTTAAAAAAAAGTCAACCCTACCAATAAAAAAAAAAACAAAAAAACTTAAAATTCACTCGATCACATTTAATTATTTAATTTTCTTAAATAAAAAAATTTGAGGTTTATTTTCGCTTGAGAAAAAGTTAAAAAAAAAAAAAAAAAAACTAATCTCTACGAGTTTTCCGTTCCATAGAAGATGCAGAG